GCACCATTAGCCACTCCCGAATATATTGAAATTGCTAATGAATACATCACAGTCAAGGTATGTCTTTTATTTTTTTGTTTGATTTCAGTATTTTATTTATGAAATTTATTTATATTTATGAAATTTAGGAAATTTCATATTATGGCAATAGTTTTAATTTTTTTTTATCCCTAATCAGTTTTACTATTTAAAATTGTTGAATTTTTTTTCGGCTATATATTTTATTTCTTTCAAAAAATCATTAGACCTTCTTATTGTCCTCTACTTTTTTGTGTTTTATTCATCTAAAGTTACATCTATAGTTTGTTGAGATCCATCATTAATCATCCATCATGTTTTTTCTCACTGCATTTTTAAACAATATTGTTGTGTTATTTAAAATAATTTTGTAGCTTTTTAAGGGATATTCTTCAAAATTTATTTAAATAATAGAATGATGAATTGTTACAGTGAAATTATATGAAATAAAAATTTTAATGAAAGTTAAGGAGGATTGAAGAGGATTTATTTTTTGCTAGTACAATACTATAAAGATCTTGAGTGCCATAAAAGCATATAAAGCAATAAGTCGGAAGAACAATGATTTTCCCCTTGAGAAATTTCCTAAGAGATAGATATTTATTTATTGAAACTTAAGCAAAATTCTTGTGAAATTTGGATTTGGTTGTTAGCAATCGCATAATTGAATTGAGAGTAAATGCAAGGAATTTTGTTTATTACTTCATTAGTATTGTGAACATAAGTCGATGTCGATGATGATGGTGGTGATTGCGACCATTATGATAACGATTTTAGAATAATAATGAATGTTAAAGATATCATCTTGTCTCAAAAATTTTTGTTAATTCGTTCGAAATTCTATTTATTAGCATTGCTGATTTTTTCTTAGTCAACACATTTTTTTTCGTTTATCTTCCTTCTCAATTAAGGGAGAATTTTTTTAATTTGAATTTGATCGATTCATTAATTGAACATTTAGCCATTTAGAAATATTTCGAAAAATTTTTGGCTTCTTGTTCATTTTTGTCGATTTTTTTTTTTAAGTCGTAAAATTTGAGTCATCTGGAGTTAAATTGGTTGCCAACAAAACTCGATTTTTTTCACTCACGGATTTATTCCAGTATAAGGCAAAGATTTTGAGGCGATAAGTTGAGCTACGTTTACTTCTATTTTTACTTAACTTTTACTTGACTTTATTAATTTTTACTTTTACTTAACTTAATTTTTACTTAACTTTTTATTAGTTAATGATAAAATCCCACATTATTTCTTATTTTTTCTGAAAATTTGCGGTGATAAGAAGGAAAAACAAGTTTAGCTCATTTATATTTCTTTAAGCAAAAAAATAAAATTAAACGAATGTACATAAAATTGTTTTCGTTGGCATTGATTTATTATCATCCGCATCGAAAATGGTGCGTTGGTGGCTTAGTGGGAAGATGGTTGTATCGAAAATGTGTTCAAATCCAATGGCCAATGCACCATGTTTCATCTGATGGCAATATCGACGAAAGTCGAAAAGCAAAGGGAAATGCAATGGCAATGGTTTCCTGCTTTCATTTCGGAATTCTTGCTGTGTTTCTAATCCTGACGAGAGTAAACATGCTCTTCAAAAGTTTGGGCAATACTAGGACTCATACTTTTTGCACCAAATGACTCGCTGCCAAAATTTGTCTGCCAGCCAACGGATCGGATCTAATAGTGAATATTAGAATAGTAAAATTAATGTATCATTCTTAAAAAAAAGTCATCATCGAGAGCATAACATTCATTTTATAAATTACACATCATTTTTTGGTTTTTTTCAAATATTTTCTTTAAAATACAATTTATGAAGAAAAATTTTATTGATTTACTTCAAAATTAATGGTTATATTCTTTTTTTCAATATTTATTAAAAATTTTCAATTTTTTAGAATTAAAATTTTTATGGATTTTTACGAAATGTTTGCTTGCTTAAAATTTACTTTTATTATAACAAATTATTGTTGTATAGTTATATAGTTATTTTTCTTTTAATAGCTCGCACTTTTACTGGTTATCACTATTTCCACTGGTAAGACGTTTCCAGGCCATACCTGCGAATAACAGAAACCACTCCTTTTGTCGTCTTCTAAGCCCATATATCTCTGGGCCACCTATACACATTCTTTTTCTTCTTTTCTTTTGACTCTATCAGTCCAAATCTTAATTGTCAATCATCACAGGGCTTGACAAATAGCACGGCGGAGAACTTGGCCTTACGATGTGGTGGTTTGATATTATTCTTTTGAGCAAAGGAGTCATGTGAGATTCTATCCGCTTCTGTATAGAATATATCTTAACTAGAATGGTCATAGGCAGATAGCCTTACCGTAGGATACTAGCCAGATGTGAACTTGTTAAACTCGTTTTGAGATTGGTTTCGCAGCGATTCCAGTCATTGAACGAAAGAACTCATTTCCAGCTGCGTCCATCTTTCGCTTAGTTGTTTGGTATAAAAGTAGATCCAAGATATTTTAAGTAGCTTTTCCTAGCTTTTCTTCATTGCGTAATGAATTGATAAAAATAGGTGTCAGCATCTACTAGATTTTCTTCTTATGTTACACGTTGTACCCGAGCGAAAAAGGGCTATGTCATCAGCGTATTCAGTTCTCTTGAGTGCTGATAATAATTCAGTTTAGTAAGTGAAAAATTTGGTGACTGAAAATTTTATAAATGATACGCTTTGGTATATCTTGGTTCTTATTTCAAAAAGATTTTTTCCTTATACAATGAGACTGGCAAAATACCTTTATAAATCGAATGATCTCTGGAACACCATCGTATTCAATCGTTCTTAGAGGCGGCTTTATCAGTTGAATCGAAAGCAGCGACAGAATCAGTAAAACAAGTGGTTGACATTTGAAGCAAAGCAAAATTTTCTAACAGCTTGGACACGTGGTCAGCTTTTCATTGAAACTGGACTCACTGCTCCAGTTTTCTGTTATTGTTTCATATCAGAGAATATATACAATGGAGACAAATCATAAAAGTCCTAGTTCGACTGTTTCCCGATGGTTGTTTTATGAAGAAGGCGAAAAAATTCCCTTTTGTCATTTGGCCATCCTCATATTCGGGCTCATATATTATTATGGTAAAGCTTATTGTTATTGTTTATTGCTGTTTTTATTATTGTCATTATTCAGAAGGGCTGGTTAATTATTCACTCACAATTTGAAACGGTGAGTTGAAATGATCTTTTTTGATTACTTCAATTCTCCTATAATAATGAATAAATTGACGGCTTAATGGTTTTCAGGATGCAGTCGCTTTTGAAAATAATGAATCTATTTACGAAACACTAAATTTTTCGGCGAAAAACTCAGTTTCCCTCCAAGAAATCAATATTATACCACATAAAGGCGATTTATATGAAAAAAAACAGGTGAATAGCTACAAAAATCTGAAATTTTCAGAGGTGTGATTGCTTCTTTTATTAATAGAAATGCTTAATACGAAAATGAATTGTTGAAAGGTATATATACGACAAAGTGTGATGGTTGTATTTCACCAAAATTTGTAGATATTTGATTACCGAATTGTTGACGATAAGATTAAGTCCAGGTAAAAATAATAACTTTAGAGTATATGGGGACCGCTTACTTACATAGAATAGTAAATAGTTGTTAATTGAATAGAATTTACTTATTGATAAGATTTATTTCAAGCCAAAGCTTTTCGATTAAATTTTATTAAAGAATCACTTAATGCAAAGATAACTTAGGGAATTTTTTTAAAAAAATTCGGAAAATAAATATATCTTAATTTTTATCTTAATTTTTTCAGCACCTAAATGGAATTTCTATTTTTTTTGATTTAATTTAAAAATTGTTTTTGAAAAAGCAAGCAATTTCAACAATTTATCGAATTTTCGAAATTATTGGCCTAATTTGAATGAACTTTCTCTATTATGATCAGTGGTTAACAACAGTAGCTATATGTGTATTTGTAATTTATAGATAGATAGACAGATAGATATATCGATGGATAATTTCTTCTTAAGTGTATCTTCATCTTTGCATGGATTTTAAGTATCCATACGGCAAGAGGATGGATTCAAAGTTATTTATCGATAAAGAGAATTTCTTCAATGAATTCAAAATATTTCTCTAATTATATGCATCTAGCTTTGAGCGTATATATATATATTTGTGTGTGTGTGCTTCTAAATTCACTAAAATTTTTGGCTTAATTATTTGTCTATTTATGAGGTTAAATTAGATTTTTGTTTTGAGGGGAAAATTTGGGAGAAAAAAAGGTTCAGTCATTGAATAATCTTCCAATGAAATGGTTTTCACCCTAATTATTAGGTTATTCTGGATAAAAATAAAAATTTATGCAATATTTATCAAGAATCTTTAATGCTTTTTACAGAGCTTTTCCAGAATTCTTTATTTTTCATCCACTATTTTTTTTAGACAATTCAAGCTGTAACAAATAAAAAAATGAGTTTGCCGAACGAAGAGAAATCATTAGATACGGTGATACGCAATCGACAGCCCATAGAGAATGGTGAAGCTTTAAAGAATGCTGTTTGTGTTCCTCATCTTGCTAAACCAATGAATGATAAACGAATTTGGCATATACCATTACCACTTATCTCGCCAGCAACGACAATATGTCGTGTACATAGCATAAGTGCCGAATCACTTATTGATGTCGGCCTTATAAATTCATCAAATTATTATGGACATATTGAAGAGGATGCTTTACCGGTTTCATCTGTAAAAAAGCAACATTTAAAAGCACGATTTGTACGAAAAATGGCTTCATCATTTCGTTTTCGAAAAGGGTTTCGAATTACCGATGAAGTCGATGAGGAATGTGCAAGTGATGATTGTGTAGAGGTTGTTTCGGAAAATGGTTCAAGATCGGTGCCACACAGTCCACGAACTGAGCGATTAGCTTTATCGCTCACAAAACGTCGCGAACCACCTTGTAATTTTTTCTAAAATTTTTTTATATAAATTTTTCTATAAATGGCAATATTTTGGATACTTTTAAATATTTTGGATACTTTCATTCAAATTGGATGCATCAGAATTAATTCTGAAAGAATCAAGAAAAAAGAAAAAAATTTTTTGTTCTTTGGAGAATTTAACTGCGGTGAGAAATAGAATTAGACTGATTATGATACATCGTTTTTGATCCTTGGAAATTCATTGTTCTAATTGCATTCCCAATTAATTTAATAATCCTTTTTATCGCTTTAACGAAGAAAGAAAAAAAATTTTATGATGACATTTCGAATGTAATGAAAAAATTTGCAGAAGAGAGAAAGCAAAATGTTTTTAATCTTAGGCAATTGTATTAAGGAATGTTTCATTGAACCATTATTTAAAAAATTTGTCGATGGAACTTCTAATGATTCCTATGATATTTTTAAAATTTATGAGAAATTTGTAACTTATTATCTATTATTTTAAAAAATTGTGAAAGTGCGAATATTAATCCTTCCTTTAATTTATGGTTTTGATGTCCATCTTGACGAGGCGAAAAAAGTGAAAGAGAAACCTGAAATTTTCTCAAACTCTAAAAAATTTTATTTCGTAAATTTTTCCCGCATAAAAAATAATTTTGATTTTTAATATTTTTTGGATATTTTAGTTTCAAGTGAAAAAATTTCAAATGCATTTTCTTGGTTAGCAACTCGTTCGCCAAAGCGAAATCATCGTTGTAACGTGCCAGAAATTGTGGCGAATATTCGAATGAATGGCGTTTTGTCACAGTCGGATACTTTGCAATCATTAGCTTCACGGTCGGATGATGGAATTCCGTTCTTTGTTAAAAAATGTATTGAATATATTGAAAAGGTTTGGATACTTCCTCATGCTTAAGGAAAGAAAATATGTGTTTCTGGATGAATTACTTTTTAATTTTCCTAAGGGAACTAAGAATACTATTAGCAAATTTGCGGATTACTTATAAAAATTTTAAATTTCATAACAAAGAAATCGACAACCGCTAGCTGAAATCTTTAGACTTGCTTATGTTTCTATGCTTTTATTTATATTTATGGTTCTTCCTTAAAATTAACAAAAATGCCAAAATAAATGCAAAATTCTGTTCTTCAGGAAGGAGGCCTCAGTATAGAAGGCTTATATCGGGTGCCAGGTAATCAGGCTCAGGTTATTGAGTTTGAGCGTTTATTTATTAACGATAGTTCAGTCGACTTACATTCGATGGAAATGCCAGTACATGCAGTTGCAACTGCGCTAAAGAATTTTTTATCAGGATTGCCAGACCCAATTATTCCATATGATGCTCATGAAGCGTTGGTTCGTAGATTTGTTGCATTTTTTATTTCTTTTTTATTTCAAGTGTACATATTTTTTATTTCCAAATGGTATTAACACTAGTATTTCAGGTGAACTGTATCAGTGAAAATTCACCCGAAGGAATTTCATTAATAAAAGATGTAATAAATTCTTTGCCAGATGCAAATCGAAAAACTCTTTCATATTTGGCTGCTCATTTGGCTCGTGTTGCTAAATGTTCTAATACGAACTCAATGGATGTTCGAAATTTAGCCAAAGTTAGTATTATCTACTTCATTTGAAGCTTTAATCTCATTCTTTGCTAAAAAGGAATTAGACCTTAGCAAAATTTAATATATACTCAGGAATTTCTTCTTGAAAATCTTTCAGTTAATATTTTGAAGTGAAAAATCTTATTATTTAGGTTTGGTGGCCAACATTATTCCGTCCAAATTTTGACTCGTTTGAATCAATGGCTATTTTTATAACTCGGTTAGAAATGGCTACTCAGCTTTTAATATTATATGCTAATATTGCTGCTCAATAGTTGCTTATAATAGTTGCTATATAAATTTGTTTGAGAAACGAATTTTGCGTTTTATTGTATCATAGTGGTCATTATGGAATATTTATTTCTTTTAAGACCTTTAAAACATTAAAATTCTTGATATAAAAATAATTTTGTATTTATATAAAAATAATTTTCATGTGAAAAAAAAAATAAAAACGAGAATTGTTGATTCTTTTTCTATTTCAAGTCTAACTTTTTTAAATTTTTATCATATGCATCATATACTTTTTCTAAATATTAATAAAAAAAACATAAGAAATTAAAAGAATTGGAATAAACATTTATGATTTTTGATTAGGCTCTATCCGCTGGTTGCTAGTAGGATAAAACAATCTGTTAGGATTTACTTTGGAATCGACATATAGTTAAATTCCCAAATCCTTAACCCACTCGGATGAGGCCGAACTATAATTGTGCTATAATTTCTCTGTTATTCGACTCTCAATGAAAATTGGGCCAAATTCATTTTCGATTTTTTTTCGAAATTGCGAAAAATGTGAAAAGTTATCTTTTTTGGATCTCCTCATATTATCTGTTTAGTTACTTAGATAAAGGAAAGATAATTGATTTTAATTCATTATTCATTAATTTTGCTATTTTAGTGCATTAAATTTTAGTTTTTGTCCATTAAAAAATACGAATTCTCTAACGAATAATGAATAAATTTATAGGGTACATTTGCTCCAGAATTTTATAAATATTTCTTCATATTTTTTCCTTAGTAAATATGGTAATAATTGTATTTTGTTTTTTGTGTAATTATAGTCTTAAAATCAAGTGAATATTTCTTTTAATAATTTAATTATTTGCATTTATTTTAATCTATTGTTTTAGTTAAAATTTTCGGGTGAGCTAGTCCTGGAAGTACTTTTCCTGTAAACTATATTTTTATCATTCAGGTTCACTGGGAAAACTTCAGGCTTTGGTTAATTTGCTTATTTTCTAAGAATTTTGTGCTAATAATAACTTATCGTAATTTTTACAGGCGATTCGTTTTCTAATTTTTTCATCCTTCTTTTGCTTATTGCACCAAAAGCTTTTAAAAACTGAACATATGTTGACTGATGAGCGGATAAGCTAAAGGGAATTCTGGATAATTTAAGATAATTGTAAAATATAGATTTGCTAAACATTTTATTAAGCATATAAAATTATTTAATTTATTCTAAATTATTGAAATCTAATTCATGCAAAAGTTACCTTAGAATGCAAAGAATTAATGCAAAGAAAATACATTAAAATTTGCTGCATTCTTCACCGCATTCTTCATGTTTATAAAAAAATAAATTGAACGAATTCCCGACGGATTCATACTTGGTTTGTTTTTCAGTGTATTTTCATATTTAATCGCTATATTAAACCTTCATTTGTTCTGTTCATATTTTCTTGTTTAAAAAAAAAAATCCTCTTTCACCTCTGTGGGCACTAACGATCCTCCTTAACCTCAGTTCTCAGCCAGAAATTGCGTTATCCTTAATATTTGTATAGAGACCATAGAAACTTTTCTCCTAAGTTGACGGGATTCACAAAGTAAATAAAGGGATTTGGACGTGTTGAAAATCTCTAATGGAACCAATAAAATGCAATTCAGTATTTTTTGAATCTCGCTTTTTCACGTATGAAGCCGTTAGGGTTTCAATGAAAAAATTTGTTTTTTATGCTTAAATATTTTGAAATCGAAGAAAATTGGAATAAAAAAAGATGGTTCGATAGGTTGATAATATTCTGAACAGTTCAGATAAACAGTTCTGAAGAAATCAATCAGTCAAGAGCCTATGAGATTAAGGAGTTTATGGTAAACAAATAGTTTCATGAAGCATCAAAGGAACGCAATTTCAAGTACTCTTAATGGAGCACAATAGGTTCTAAGAAACGTGTTAGAGATTAGGCAGTATGAGAGCTTGAACGGCTTTAACATCTAAAAGATCATTATTAAAAAATTAGGGACACTTCTAGAGGACGAAAGATCGAGGCTCTAGAATGCAACAAGCTCATTTTCAGTGTAAAGTACATTATTCAAGGAGGAAGTTTTTTTGTCAAAATCTAACAAATTTTGCAAGATGGCTTTTTTCAGAAAATAAACAATGGCACAGCAATTTTATTATTGAACAATGATGCTAATAAAATAACTATTTTTATCAATTCATTTGCCCAACTTTAAATATCTTGGATCCACTCTAATCTCAAATGGCTAGACAAAGGATGAAATTATAACGACGGGGTGACGACAGCTAGAAAAGTGTTCTGGTTGACGTTTAATGTAACTATCGCAGAATCACCATAAAGACGAAAATAGCTGCTATTCGCTCAATCTTGCTATATGGCTGCGAGACATGGCCAGTGAAGGTGGAGGATATTACGAAGCCCTCCGTCTTTGACCACTCATATCCAAGGTACATTTCATAGATTCACCGAGTGGATAAAATCTCATATCACATAATCACATCCACCTTCTTTCAGATACCACTGTATTAATGATGTGTCATCATAGAGCATTGCTTTTGCTGGTTAGGGAATGTTCTTTGTCTACCACAAGAGTTGACAAATTTCGTTACTTGCTGAACCCTGTGATGGTTGGTGTTAAAAGCGAAGTGTGCCAACCAAGATCTGGACTGATAAGGTCAGAAAAGATTTTGAATATATAGGTAGGTGGGTCAGCGCTATATGGATTTAGATGGTGGAAAAAAGGAATGACTTCTATCATTGTTAGCGATGGTCGGATCGAATAGCTTGGAGGTGTCCCATCCTTGTAGCCAGCATAACTACTAATGGTGAGAACTGTTAGAAGAATAATAATTGTAATTCGGATAACGATAGCTAAAAATGTGTTTTTTTTTTCAGGTTTACGAAACCTTATGTAGCATAAAAACGAAAATTCGCGTCTATATGGCTGCGAAATATGGCCAATGAAAGTGGAGGATATTAAGAAGCTATCTGCCTTTGACCACTCTAAGATTTATTTTACAGTTCATTTTACGGTACCGAGCGGATAAAATCTCATATGATTGCACCTATCTTCACTCAAATACTACTTGCATTAACAGTACTGTCATCTTCGGTGTTAGGGCACGTTCTTCGTCCACCATAAGAGTTGTCGCATATTTCGTTATTTGCCGAAGTAAACCGTGTGATGGATGGCGTTAAAAGCGAGGAGGGCCAGTCAAGACCTGGAATAATACAGTCAGGAAAGATTTTGAACGTATAAGAGACCAGTGTTATATGGACTTAGACGATGGAAAAATGAACGGCTTCTATTATTACTAACGATGGAGTCGGACCGAGCAACTTGGAGACGTCTTATCCTTACTATTGTAGCCAGCGGAACAAGCCTAATCAATAATGGTGAGAGCTGTTAGAAGAAGGAGAATAATAATAATATCGCAGGATGGTTTTGGCAGACTCGATCGACTTTCTTCCACTTGCAAACAATTTATCATTTATATCCAGATAATATACAGAATTATAACTCATCTATGTATTTTGATCACTGGAATATGCAATAAAAAATATTTAGTTGCAAGAGACGAAAATATTTAAAATCTATACATTACAAAGAAATTATGAATTGAAAATCAATATTTCTATGTTTAGGACAGATCTGAGAGATGCTTGTAAATTTAGGGGTAGAAGGATCGGCATTTGGAACTTCATGCGTCGCATAGAGAGACTGGTTTCAGTTGTTTCTTTGGCGTCTATAATGTTCGGTCAAGTTAATTTTATGTAATTTTCAATTCAATATTCAATTTATCGATCACAAGTCAAATTTTATTCGCTTTTTTGTTTTTGATTTATTAACTGATTTTCTTTAATGGATGGATTTTTAATGGATTAATCGATTTAAGTGTTATTCATCGTCAGTTATTTTATTATTTCATATTCTTAAATTAATTTAGTTCGGAGTTAACTTTGAGCTTTCTAATTAAAAGTCTTCGCGATTTAAGAACTTTTCTTAGTCTTTTTCGATCATTTTCGATCGATTTGTCTTTTTAATAATTAGTAGAAATTTCGAAAAAAATTGGAGAAAGCCTTAAGCTTTCAAAAAATGAAAAATATTTGTGGTACAACATAATGGTGCTAAATGATGGAAAGAGATAAGTCTCGAATTTGCTATTTATATCAAAATTCAGCTTTCCAAGGGTCGAATAATTTAGACTTATTTTATGTTGGCATTGATGTATTCATTATTTATTACTATAGTTTTCGTAAGTTATAATTCAGTAAAGGAAACGTAAAAGATAAAGAAAGAAAGAAGACATAAGGGAGTGATGTTACTGTCTGTTACTCATCCATCCAAGTGTCGTCCAAGTAATTGAAGAGAACGAAAAAATCAAATGTTGGGTCGAAGTTTGCAATGAATTTCAGGGATTTTTGTGCTGATATAGGATACTATTATAAGCATTTTATGAAATTTGCGTCACCTTATAATTTTTTTTCATTTTCTTAATGTAGTCAAATAATTTTGAAAAGAAAAATTATTTTACAAAATTTATTTTAAATTTATTTTCGTTGATTTCGCAAAGTTCACGAAATTATAAAAAATGAAAATCATCAGCCTTAATCGCGTCAGTGGTTATAGATTATCGGTTCTGCAACCACTTTAGTTGCCCTAATGCCCTATTTCATTTGCTATATTCGATTTTTTTCAGATTTCCAAGAATCCAAGAAAAAACACGAAATATCTAGTAGCTCATGTCGCAGTTTGCTCCTAAAAATCCTGCTGCGTGGGCCCGCCCACCAGGTATCTGCCGTGGCCTACAAAAATTTTGAGAGAAATTTGATATTTAAAAAAATTCTATATTTAAATTCTATATTTAGAAATTTTTGCGAATTAATCAATCGATGTCTTTCGTCCTACTTGTAATATTTAGGTACTAGTCAACAGTTAAATGCGGGGTTGTTTCAAAGTCCATTGATTGGTGGACAACCATTTGGTGCAACCGTTCCACAAATGGGTATGTCGGGTATGATTAATGCTGCAGCTTTTTCGCAACAAGCAGCAGCCAGCATGGGTGTGAATTTGGGAATGCTTCAGGGCCATCAAACCATTCGAATGCAAGCTCAACAACAGGTTTCGAGTTTTCAACAAAAAGATCTAGTTATTTAGGTCGTGACAATCAAGCCATCCAGCCTCTTTTTTTAAATTTTTCATTCTAAGAAAAATTTGGTAGTATTAATTAAAAATTTTTGCATGCGATCAACGACAAAAGTTTTTAGCAACCACCTCAGAAGAATCGAGTGTTTTCTGGTGTTGTAACAAAGATGCATGATAGTTATGGCTTTATTGATGATGATGTTTTTTTTCAAGTGAGGTAAGAATATTTAAGAATACTCGGAACATAATTCATTTTCCCATAAATAGTGATAATTTTTTAATATTTCATTCATATTTACAATGAATCTTTTTTTATGTAGCAAAATTGCTTTCAGTGTTGTCAGAGGTACTCTGCCACGCACAGGTGATCGTGTTATGGTTGAAGCTACATATAATTCGTCGATGCCATTTAAGTGGACTGCTTTACGAGTGGAACTGCTACGAGTGGAAAACATAGGTCAGAAAGGTGCCCCACATTCTCATATTTCTTCGCAGGATAGAGCTCGTCAAAATTTATCTCCACGAGGATCATCGGGGAACCAGAATTGGAGTGATAAAGGTCCGTTGCCATTGCCTCTTATGCCTGAACAGCATTCAAGAGATATACGCAGTGGTTAGTTATTTTCAGTTGATTTTTTATATTTTGTTATTTTCAATCGTTGTTTAAATTATGATCAGTTGTATATAGTTATATACAGGGATGCGTCCACGGTCACCTCCATCTGCAGCAATTCATCGCTGTCGAACGCCACCCCGTACTATCTCATCAGTGAATAGTGGGAATGGACGTCGTCCTCTCTCACCTGTTCGACGATCACCGCAGCATTCATATCCTAAACGGTCTGCAAGGTCTGCATTATATTCTGTACAAATATCGACAAAAATGATTCGCAAAAAATTTAATAAAATTAATTAACCATGAAATCAGAAAAATTAGTTAAATAATAAAAAAGAATTTAGAAGTCCTCTTCGCGGAGAATTTAGTCGGAATGCTGGTCTCCGAGCTCTTTCGCCGAAGCGTGGTACCTCTGTTCATAAGCACGATTCATTAAAGCGTTCTCCAAATAGTACTGTGCGCAAATCACCATCTCTAAAGCGTGATATTCCACCTCATGAAAGCTTATCGCCTCCTCGTCGACGCTCTCGCATTATTCCAAGATATCAATGTTATATGCCTAAAGTACCAATCACGATGATGAAGTGATTTTTCATTTTAGTTTTTTTATCTGCCAGATTTCAAAATTTTTCATCGTTCTAAATGTGATTTCTTCGCGAATTTTCGCCTCTGTTTATCAGTGATATAAATTTTCTAACACATATTGCATAAGAAAATATATATAATCATAATCATATGGATGTGCTCTAAATATTCTTACATTATAAATTTACAGTGAAATCCGATCTTTTACAATTATTCATCTTCGTAAGAGATATCCGTCAATGTATATCCCATCAGATTTTGTTGAAGCCACAGTTGATTGGCCATTCACAACACCAATGGAAAATCCTATTTCAATATGTACTTCACCTATTTCGTTTCATGTTTTGCATAAAGATATCGATAATCCTCATTCGAATGGAGAATCGAAAACACTTAATCCCTTGGACGCTGACCCCAGATATAGTGCAAAGGTTTGTGATATTACATTTAATTTCCTTTCATTGAATCTTATCAGGATTTATTTTTTTGTTTTTTTTTAGGTGATCTTGATGGGTCACGCTGGTCTTAATGCTGTGCACCAAAAAGCTTATGGTCTTTTGCCAGATGGATCATTGGATGAAAGTATTGATCCGGTTTCGATTTTTCGCTGTATCAGTTTTCTTGTTGGTAGATGATTTAATTATTACCAGTTTTTTAATATAAAATTTTATTTGTTTTTGTTGCATTTCTTAATTAAACAGTAGTTACAAAATTTTATTTCATTTAAATCATTCTATTTTCGAAAAATTCCTAATTTTGATTTCAGGAACTCGTGGAAAAGGTGAACTGATGGCACTCGGTGGATCGTGGTCCCCTTCCCTTGATGGACAGAATCCTTCGAAAGATCCACAGGTGCTTATCCACACGGCGGTTCGTACTGTTCGAGCACTTACTGGAATTGATCTTTCGAATTGCACCAAATGGTATGTCTATGGAGGAATTTTTTTTAAAATTTTAGAATACCACTTTTATGTAACGAATATGTAACGAACTAATAAAATATGAAATGAAAATTATGACCAGGGGCTTCGAGCATTTCAGCATATTTTTACATACTACAGTCTATTAATATAAGTTTTTCCATGCATTTTCGAACATTTCTTCCGGGTATGAGTCTCTCTGTGGCGCATGTTAAATAAAGATTACATCATTTCGCCATTCGCAAAGGTGCTAAATTCGTTGTGACGGCAGCATTTTTTTCAGCATATATTTTTAATGGATTATTTGTGATTCTTACTAAAAGAATTTGGTAGTCATCATTATAGTGTTAACCATATTAAGATAACACGATGGTATTCGATTTCTTTTCCAGCTAATTTTCTTTAAAACGCCAGCGCATTCAGTGGAGAGAAAGAATTCTCAAAATTATTGATTTTTGTGATTTTATTATTTTTTTAAGAATAATCGCTAAGGTGGTGGATTGGTGGCCACAACTTGACGAACAGTACAGAGATCAAGTGCTGCACTGTTTTATTTTCATTTTGTTTCTGGGAGTAGGGAACTAAGAAAATGACAGACACATATGACACACAGGTTCAAACTCGCGCAAATTCGTTATTATCGTGCGGAAAAAAATCGTGTGGATACAACTGTATTGCTGCTGCCCGATACGAATGGTTTAATGCCTGGTGAGGAAGATTATCGACAGGTGCTAGCTGTGCTTAAGAATCAACTGTCGACTAAACTAGCTGCAGTTGAGGCTCAGTCTCTCGAATCACTATTTCCTGATGGTCAAAATATTGGGGAGGGCGGAACCAGTACCGAAGCATCGAAGGAGCAGGTGCGGTCTACGAACGAATCATTATTTTTTTTTGTAAATTTCAGTTCACTGATCGTCTCATCATAGTCAATACGGTTTCAATGGTTTTTCGCTTTATTTTTTTAGAAAAGATTTTAAAATGTGGAAAAGGGTGTTAAGCTTTTTTAAAAATATTTATTCAAATGTTCATTTAGTTACATCGCAGATATTTTTTTCCTCCTTCGATTACTGGAAATAATGTAGAAGTAGCAATGAAAGAATAAATATTATTGTACAGATTTTTTACCACATTATTCCATTTTAATTACGAATTATGTCATTGAATTTTTATAAATATTCATTTTAGATGGAAGAAGCTATCGAAGAGGATGATGAAGATGATTTAACTCCCACTCATTGGGCAATGCTTGATGTAAAAGCTATGAAAGTGATTATTTCGAAATTTTTTTGGTTTTTATATTTCTTTTTCTCTCCATATATACCTAATTGCCTAATTGTAGGTAGCTGAATTAAGACAAGAATTAATGGCACGTGATTTGGAAACTAAAGGAGTGAAATCTATTTTGTGCGCAAGATTACAACAAGCAATAGATCAGGAAAAAGCTAAGGAAGAAGGAATGCAGGAAAAGGTTTTTATAAAAAAAATTCTAAAATGAAGGAAAAGGAGTGAAAGAGGGAAAATTTTTGGAAAGGAGATATTAGGCATTTTAGTGTTTGTTTTGTTGCATTGGTTATTATAATGATTTTTTAAATTGAGGTCGAAGAAAGCGTTCCTAAGGAAGGGAAAAAAGAAGATAAAGTACTCACTGAAGAAGAGAAAAAAGCATTGGAGAAATTGGTATTGCATATATTAATTTTTCTTGCTTATAAATATATGATCTGATTTAGAAAATTGACATTTTATTTTTTGGATTTCCTATCTCAGAAGAAATTTTTGACGGTTTTTTCATTAATATAAGGTTATATAAAATAATTTTTATTGATCATGAGTTAAAAAAGAGGTTTTTAGGTTTTATTTTTCCAGGAAAAAGAGAAAAAAGAGAAAAAAGCATCTTTGGAACGACATTACAGTTTACCTAAAGAAGCCGGTATATTGGTTTATCCTAATCGTTTGGCAAAAGGCGGTAAATTCGATTGCAAAGTAGTTACTCTTGCTAATCTGCTTGATTATAGGATCGATGATTGTAAGGAACATTCTTTTGAGGTTTTCATATTATTACTTATATTATTATTATAATAATTCATATTATTACTTATAAATTGCTGAAGATATATGGCTATTATACTGATTTTAACTTCTGAACGGTTCTTTCATGTGGTTATTGAACCAGATGATTTGGTCATTATTGCTGTTTTATCTTTTATCTTTTATCTCTCTTCATTTATCTCATTTAGTTGGCCATCTTAGTAGAATCTATAGCTGAAATAATTAATCGTTCACAAGCTTTTACCGTTTACAAAGCAGTTTCTTCTTATTTGGACAAAGATGCTGAAAAGAAACGTCGTGATGATGCAAAAATTGCTGAGCTGGTTGAAAAAGAAGGTTCCATTTTTGAAGATTTAGCAGAGACTGCATCAAATAGGATTTGAGAAAACCTTGACGAGAATAGGATTCGAACCCAGTCCTTTGAAGAGAGTAGTGTTTTAAACCACCACCTTGGACCGCTTGGCTAATCTAGAAAGTGATACTGTTTTATAAATAGGGATTAAAAAAAGAGTAAAATGCAAGGTAGGTTTAGATGAGTTATATAAAAAATTTGAGTCTAAGCCATGTATCCCTTTTATGTGTAATAAGGAGTGAATAAGTAGACAATTCGCATATGGCTTAAATTTGGTTGATGATTTTTAAGAATAAGGGAAAATGGTTCAAGTATGGGAATTTGAGGAAGACACGATTTTGTTTTGCGGTTGCTGTTTCATGATGTGCTTACTAATTAGCGCTTGCAAATTGCATTGCTGTAAATTTTTTAGCTTATTAATTCGTAGCTTATTTTTCAGTAAAGCAGGAGAAGGAAGTTGATAGCGGTATGAAAATTGAAAAAAATGAAGAAGAGCAGAAAAAAGAGAAGGAAAGACAAGAAGAAGAACGAAGAAATGCGATTGCCGAACCGCGTAAGCCTATAGTTGTTAATCGTTCTGTCTTCCAGGCATTCGCACATTTTGATCAGAACCTTTGCGGGTATTCTTTTCTTTTTTTCTCATTTTCTTACTAGTTTGGAATTGTTGGAATGCTAAGAATTTATCTTAAATTTTAATTTTCAATCTTTATGTATATTTTTTCAGGTACATAACTGACAAAGATGCTGAAGATATTTTATATACACTTGGACTGAATATTTCACGAGCTCAAATCCAAAAGCTCGTGAAGAAGTTTTCCTTTCGAGATAAAATTAATTATCGCCATTTTACTGACAGTTGGGTGAATAAAGATGGAACAGTTACTTATGTACCTGGTACTTTACCAGATGCACCAAATTCTTCAACTCTTGTTAAAGGTTCTATTCAACACTTATATCTCATTTTTTGTTTTTGCAGATTTGTCTCTATGTATATTAATAGCAATATATCAATAGTACAGAAATTCCTATCCTTTTTTAGAAAAATTATGAAAGTTTTTTTAAAAGTGATCATTTTTTGAAGGGAACGTTCTTTCGCATGAAATCGGTGAAACAGTGAAGCCAAGGGATGTTCCATTAGAGGCGAATAATAATGATAATGTAATTTATCATGGAGCAATGATTAACATTCCTTCCATGTTGGAGAAAATTTCTCAAATGGAAGCGGAACGAAATGCTGCGCTGCAGAAAACGGACATTTTGGAGGCACAGCTGAGTTAATCTTTATATCATATGCTCCAGAATATTTTTCTAGTTTTTAGTTTTTTGTATGTTATATGTTCATTTCTTTTTTTTTTCATTTCTTCTTGCACTGTAGAAGAAGGAGCTCGTAATGCTCAATTATTGGAAAAGAAAAAGAAACGGCTCGAAGATGACGTGGATAAATACAGAAAACGATTGCATGATGCAGAAAAATGTCTTAAGGTTTTGCGTTTTCCTTTGATTCTCCGGTTTTCATTGTTTTGACCTCTAGCTTTTAATCCATTTTAAAAGCATAAAAAAAGTATTAAGCACAAACAATTATTTAGAAAAACCAAGGGTGTTAGTGGTCTTCAATGTGAATAAGAATATGTTATAATTTTAGAACGATTATAATTTTTTTGTCAGAATTTTGAGCTGCATAATCGAATTAAGATTGTAGAAAAATGGAAGAATATAATGAGATTCGGACAAAAACTGAAAAACTGTCATAATTTCTTTAGCGCGATCATTTCATTTTCGGCTTTGACTATTTTTATGGATAGGTCATACGCTAAATGGCATAAAATTTGTAGCATGTTGTTCCCGAATGAATATTATCCGTTCGATCCTTTGGCAGCATCCACGAAATAAAAATATCATTTGAAGGTGAATCAGAGCGCTGCGACGGGCGAACCCATAATTAACAAAATAAAAATTAAACTGATTAAAAACTAATAAAAAGGCCTGAATTTACAGCCAGATGAAATTTTCAAAGAGAAAAATAAACAACTGGAATGAAATAAATGCGTAAAGAATTGTGGTAAAAATATATTTCATGTTTAGGGTAGAATTTGAAGTGAGTGATTTGAAGAGTAATTGGAAATTATAGCATGGTACTAATTTTTGGGAAAATCTGATGGAGGGAGGTTTCCTAATTTATGAGCTGTATCTTGAAAAACCAGCAGTATTTAAAGGAGTATATCAGAGAAGTATTTGAGCTTTGAGGCATGTATGATTGGAACCAAATATATCACCTGCCGATTTCGGACCATCCATGGCACGGCCAGGAGGTGTAATGAAGTTTCAGATTGTGTATATATTAGGAGAGTTTGGACAAATGCCAAGGGCTAGTTTCAAGGGTGCATCATGTGAAGTAAAAAGCGTGCATTAAGTGGTCACAATACAATGTAATACGTATGGTGGCCATAGTAAAGTTATTCAGAGTTTATTCTTATTCTTATTAGCACCTTGCAGATTTTGAAAATGTGACGGGATATTTGGGTAAATATTGAAGCTTTCAAGGTTAATATTCCGTTATAATAATTCAGAATATAATTTTATTTTGCTTTTTAATCACAGAATTCTGTGGATGATACGGTTCAAATGAAATCAGCGATACAAGAATTTCGTAAAATAGGTGAAAAAATACAAGCCATGGCAGATAAAATGATGCCTACAACGAAGGATGAAGAAAAATCAGTGGAAAAAGACGAGAAAGACATTAAAAAAGAACGGAAAGACGACAAAACTGAACGAAAAATAATGAAGAAGGTACCTTTGCGTTGTATTTCTGCTTTTATGTTGCTTTTTTCGTTTTGAGAAATTCATTGCAAGAAAATTAAACTTGAATTATATGGACGTACGTTGGTTTATTTTTTCTAGAAAAATTTTCTTAATTAACTTAACAGTTTTTTCGTAATTTATTAAACGTTGTTTTTCGCAGAAGGAAAATGACGATCCAGCGAAACGATCTGTTGGTAGTGCCATTGGTAAGAAAGAGTTGACTTTAGTGGACGAAGTAATTGGCGAATCGATGGATGTCGATGTGATCTTAAAAGAAGAAATTAATGGGGATGAAAAGGATAACAAGGAACAAAAGGAAGCAGAAAACATTGATAATGAAGAATGCAAAAAAGCTGAGATTGAGATCATTCATACTTCTGATCCTACGGTGAACAGTGAATGACAGATGACGATTTTTTTCAGCAAAAGTACCTTAATTCTTTGAATGTTGGAATTTTCGTTTTATTTTTTGATTTTGAATATGTCTAACCATATATTCTAAGTCATAAAATTTCCGCCTGAAGCCGCTCTAAATAGACTTAACAGTTTTCTTTACTTTTTTGCAGTTTTTTTATTGCTAAATTGATTGTAATATATATTTAATCAAAAATCATCCAAAAAGCATCTCATTCTGTTATATTTTTAATGCAGTGATTTATTCTTAAATGCGTGCTTTATGCGCTTTATTTTTCTAAAAATATGTTTAAAAAGAGCTTATTCTATGGTTTATCCCTCTTGACCTATAGTTTTTTTGTTTTCCAGTTTGAAAAATTTTCTTTCAAATTTTGTCATAATCCAGCATAAATTAATGATAAAATTTACCATTTTGAAATGTGCTCTTAGCGTCCGAAACATTGCATTATATAATTTACTGTTCATTGGTTTGATGAATTCTGATTAATTTGGAGTTTATGGGTGGAAAATTTATTTTTTTTAAATTTTTCGAGATGGTAGAGTTGGATGCCCTTAACTATAATTTTGCAATTATTTGATGGAAGAAAGGTAAAACAATGCTTAAGATTGAAAGATAGGTTTTAGATTAACACAATTGCTAAAAGAAGAATTAATCGGAGTGGTTAGTCTTGATTTTATTCTGCTGGAAGAGTAAGATTAGAGGGGCGGTTCGTGTTTTATGCGCTTAAATACTCTGAAACGATAAAAATATGGAATGTTAGCAATGAAAATTGGGTTAAAAGTTGCTTCTGGGGAACAATTTTATGTTAGGGAATAAATGTTTGTTAAATCTTTGGTGGTTTATTTATATTAAATATTTTTTCAAATTAGTTCGTTTAGTCGAAGAATTTCAAAGGTTTTTCGAAATTCATTTGTAGATTTGAGAATTATAGGTTTTTGGGCTCGAATTTTTTGCTTCTAAAAGGTTGCAAATTAATTTTCAAAAGGCAAAAAAGATTTGGAAATTTTCTATGGTCGTGGTGTTCGCCCTTTTATTGGTATCTCAAACCAGCTTTGACCCTAAAGAATTTATTTGACAATGTGGAATTTCAATGAATCTGTGAGTAAAAATTTTTTGCTAAAATTTTGTTCCCTCAATTTTTAATCTGAAGTCCACCGAAAAATTTTGAAATATTTTTGAAAATATCGGGATATTTAATTCCGCGATAGGCATTATTGATATATAAGTTCGTTTACGTTCTCATAGGTTATGTTGAAGGTTCATTCCCGAATGCGGAATGTTTCTTTTAATATCGTTATTGGTAAGGTATTTTATAGATAATCGCCAAATGCAAAACGAATTTAAGGGTAAATTTTTAAAAATTTAAAAATTTATACTTTTTTGGAAAAAAGTAAATTGGCTAATTTTTTTGTACAAAAAATTAATAAAAAAATGAAATGAATGCGATGAATTCTATAAGAAATGAATGCTTTTAACCGAATGAAATCAATGAAATGAAATTTGTAGGTGACAGATTTATTTCTTATATTTTCCAGTCAAATAATCACTTTGAATTTTAAGTTTTACTGTTGCAGATTATTAGTATGCCAGATTGAAGGACAAATGAAAAAATAGAACATTTAATTTCTCTGCGCCTCAACGATTTTAAATTTTCATGTAAAATTTGACGATTTTCGAGTTCATTGATTGGGAAAATTGTGAAATTTGAAAATATCGAAAGCTTTTAGGATAAATTCATTCAATAAGAGTAATAAAAGGTTCATTCATCATAGAAAAAAATTCAAAAACTTTTCAAAAAAATGCAACCAGTGTATCATATGAGGAGAAGAGGGAAAATGTGATAGTGAAACCATGTAAAATTAGATGGTGAAACGCTATTAGTGTTTATCTTGCGAGATACTACTAATGATAGCATTCCCTTAGAAAGCGCAAATCGAGTAAATTAATTAAAGAGTTCCAGTACTACTTTTTACATCGCCTCTCTCCTAAAGGCAATCTCATTTATAAAAAATTTTATTCATACAATCTAAGTTCTTTCAATTCGTCAAATTAAAGGAGATTTAGTTTATATATATATATATTAAATTCTATATGGTTATTAGATTGTCATATTAGATTGTTTAAAATATTATAATTTTTCGTAAATTTTGACCAAAAAAACGGGCTAAAATTATTAAAAACCTATATCCAAAATTAAACTAAGAACTTTTTCATTAATTTCTAGAATAGGCTGCCGAATAAGCTATAATTTATGCAAAATCCTTATTTTTAAAAAGTGATTAAAAATATTTTCTAAAATATCTATTTAAAAGCTTCACATTATGCAGGTAGTTTGAAATCTTATCATCCGATTATTAATTCAATAATAAATTCAGTTCGATTTGTGTTGTTCTGTAATCTCCCTTTATCTGCATTATTTCATCATTATTTCTCTTTACATTGTTAGCTTTTGATCACATTTCTTTTGTTTCTTATATCGATATCACTAATTCCTCTTTATCTGGCACTTCATTTGTTGTTATTAATGGGAGGAGATGCGGCTTGTCGCCATACTTAGTTTTTTCTAAATAAAATTGATATAATTGGCTAAAAGGCATATGCTTCTTGAAAAGTTTTATAGTAATTTCATTTTATTCTTTTTTATAAGTTTTGCTTTTACGGACAGAAATATTAAAGGAAAATCTTTCTAGGGAATCGAAATTATGGTAGCTCGACTTTAACATCATAATATGGGTATCTTTTGCTAGCGTCTATGGTCAGATCCACTGTGATTTTAATAATCTTAATCAATATATAAAAATATATCAATATATATATATATATCAATATATCAATATACAATAAATAAAGGATATAAAGAAAGGAGTTTGAGCGATGATTTTGAAAGATTTTATAAAAATAATTGAAATGGAAAAAGCGACTTCCAGGAATTTTTTTTGCAGATGCAAAAATTTTTATTAAATTTATTTCCAAATGGATGCGCAGATGTTTTGATTAAATTAATTTTTCAAAATTTTCTTTTTCGATAAAATTTGGATTTAAATTTCTCTCTTTTTTTATATGAATATTTTATTTTATTATCTTATTTATTAACAAATTTTTTGGTACAAAATAGTCGCTTTACTTCATTTCAGTGGGCATACTTCAAAGTAAGGATTTCCCTTACATGAGGATATCAATCCGGATGATGGTAAAGATTAACCTGAATTTCTATCGCTAAATGGCAAAAATTTCGAATCGTGCTAACAGTCTGGAAAGCGAGTTTAACCAGTAGTGATAATTCTCGATGCTTTCTCAATTTTTGTTCATTATAAAGTGAATAATATTAGTCTGAAATTTATCATTCATATTCCCTTGTTTCTCAATCCTTTTTTTCAATTCATCTTTCCTTGGATTTTATTATTTCAGTGTGTCGTTATATCTCTTTATTAGAAAATCCAGGATCAAAAATTTCCAATCTTCTTTTAATCTATCCAAGCAATCGATCAGTTTTTATTCGGTTTTTTTTTCTTCTTCTTCTAACTCTCACCATTACTGGACGAAGATGGATACATACAATTATGTGCGATTTTATCTGTTCGACGGTTCCGTAAAATATAATAAATATATAGACATGAGTGGTCGTCAAAGGCTGATAGCTTCTCAATATCTTCCACTCTCATGAGCCATGTTTCGCAGTCATATAGCAAGATCGAACGAATTGCAGCTATATGGACGCAGATTTTCGTCTTTATGGTGATTTCGCGACCGTTCCATAAAGATTTCATCCAGCGGAAAAACATTTCTAGCTGTCGTTATCAGAGTTACAATTTCATCCTTTACCTGGCTTGGTTTTTAGTATTTAGGTATCATTCTTGTTGTTTTCCGCAGTTATTTTTAAATCCTTTAACTTTTTTCCTACCAATTTAAAATAGTTTGAAATGAAATATTTTTAACTGCATTTTTAATTAATAATTTTTTAAAATCTAGAAAATCTAAAACCAAAAGATCATTATCTGAAATAATTTTAGAGGTAAAATACGATTAAGGCTGCACCAAAATTGAAATAAAATTGAATTTTTTTTCATTTTCTTTCCAATTCATCGATTAAATTATACAGAAACGAAAATTTATCGGTTTTAGCAATAAAATGGATTTTATGATTAAGAATAAATTCGGGCTTTTCCACATAATGTTATCGAACACTTCATAATTCTTGCAGATTTCTTTATGTCTCGAATTTCCAATTTCCCCAAAATGTCTATTTTAGTTAAAACACAATAAATATAACACAATAAATAAAAAAATTTATTTTTGTTATCGGAAAATAATATTAATTAATTTATTTTGAAGTTGAATGGCAAATGATAATTATTTGAAAAAAGAAATTCAACAACTTATTTCCTCTTCATTTTTTTCATTCGAATTTTTCTTTCCTAAATAATAGGAGCATAGCCAAGTTATACAGTTACATAGTTAAAGTTGCTTAGATTATCGTCTCAAGTATTCAGACAAGTGTTGACTCGTTGTTAAACAATCTGAGCTGGGGATCCATCTATATTTTTATCCACAAGTAATTTCTTGGAGAAAATTTCTTATCGTACTAATAGCTAGTGAAGAATCGCCTAACCAGAAATGGTGAGCGCCAATCGCTTATATAAGGAACAAATATTTAAAGGAAATTTGGAATCACGACGAAGCCAGTGAAAAATATGTTTTCTCCTTTCAAATCCATGTCCAGAAATTCGAAATCGCTAGAATAATAAAATAGATTAAAATCATTTCATTTTTATTAAGTTCTTTATCGTTTTGAAAAAGGAATTCATCTTTCAATGCTTAATTAAATGCAAATTTGTGCTGAATAAAATCTCAATAAATTAAAAAATTCGATGGTCCTTTCTTCCAATCACTTAATTTGAATTCATTCGCCGGTTCTACTTATTTAATTCGTTTGGTTTCAGGCAAAAAAAACTTTTTTCTTAGAAAATAGCTCTTTAAATAGCTAAATTGTCGTAATTATTGCAATTTTCTCAATTTTTGCTGATTTATGCGTTTGTATTTGTCAAAGGATTCTCGTCTTTTTAAAACAATTTCATTTCGATTTCAGTTATCCATCATTTTTCTCTCCTCTTCTCATTTTCTTTTTGGATAAACATAGGGATGGTATATATTATTTTGTCGTGATGATTTGTGACATGAAATTTTCTACCAAATAATCCAAAAGGTTAAATAAGAGATTGGGAACTAAACGAATTTAAGTATTTAGACAGTTTTCATTTCTCTTCCTCCGATTTCTCTCTATCCTCTTCGTATATTTCGATATTTTCAATTTTCTTCATTTCCTTGTAAGTTTTATTCTCTTTTTTTCCTAAAATTTCTTTAATTTATCTTCCAAATAAAACCGCCCAACCGCTCAATCATAATGGATATATTGAAGTAAATCTCTTTATTTTCATCTTTTCCCATCGAGCAAATCAAGCATTGAAGCGCTATTTTCGTAAAACTCTCTTTGAATGTCTATAATCGTGGAAAAATCCCTCTCTCTTTCATCCCACTTTATTCGATTAGTTCATCTCCTTAGTGTTTCGGGTTGTTCGATGTTTACTAATGGCTTCTAACCTTTTTGATACTTTCCACAATTGGTTTTTTCTTATACAATTCTTACTACCGTATTCTTTTAACGCCGTTCTCATTCAAATATCATATGCGACAAATATAAATGGAGTAAACAGTGAAAAAACAATAACTGTATTGAATGGGACAACAACTATGTTGAACTGTGAACCAGCTGAGAATTTAATACGAGCGCATATGGCACCAGATTTTGAAAAACCGCAGTTGATTCGTAAATTAGACTGGTTTTTAGATGATACGATTGTTGCAAGTTATCAACAAGTAAGTGATTTTTTAGAATTTGAGAAATGTTTTCAGTGGTAATTTTTGTGCTATTTCGAATCATTCCAGTCAATTATATACTGGAAATCTATCCATACTTTATTTCCAGCTGAATCATCAATGATGTGATATCCTTTTTTATTCTTTGCAGTCATTACATATTTGAATTTGAGCTATTGGTCTAAACTATTTAGATAGCTCAAATACTTCGAATATGAATTTGTCAAGAATATTTCGTATATTATATTTACTTAAAATATTTGATTCCAACTTATCAGTGCATCCACCATACGATAGAATCACGCTGATTAATAAATTTGATTGCGCAAAGAAGATATATATTCATTGATCTAAAAGTTAAAATAATATTCTTATTTCATTTTCTGAATTTGAAAAACAATGCTATTTTTTGTTGAATTTCTTAAAAATTAACATTCAAAAAGATAAAGCTTTATCTTTCTATAGCAAAATTAAAGTAATAAAATTTGTTCTAATTTGTTCTAATTCAATATTTATTTATGCCTGTCTAACTTGCCTACTGTTTGATTTTTGACTTACTTGCTTAAAGATTTATTTGGTATTTTTTGTTTTATATTCTAAACATTCCCCAAAAATTATTGTTGCACTGAGAAATTATGCTTATTTCATAAATGGAGGTAAAATTATAAAGTGAAGCGCTTGGCATAAGTCAGTTCCACTTTAGTTTTAAAATTTTAGTTTAAAAATTCTCGTAAGAAATTTGGTGTATCTTGAGATTAATTTGGTTATTTGCAAATCTGCAAATAAACCCTTTTGAAATATTCCACTAAGAATGAAGTGGTGGAGTAAAACACAAACGCTTACTTTATTTATACTTAGGCATTTTAATTACTCTATTTCTTTACTGCCACAAATTCTGGTAAATTTCTGACAAATTTCATTGCTCATATTCTTTCATTATTCAAATTATTGTGGTCATCATTGTTGTTTACCACTATTTTCATTAACATATTCAATAATATTATAATTATTATTAATATTGTAAATAATATTTTTGTACCACTCTTGCCAACCTATCTTATTAACTATTGGAGTTTGATAAAAATCAATTTACTCTAGGAAGAATTTCAGAGATAATTTTTAAGATATATTTATGAAAAAAATTAATTTTAGGATTTCTATTATTTTATACTTCGTAATAAGCACCATTTTTCTACAAAGATTTTTTATCATTAAAGTAATTATTTAAGTATTATTTGAAGTACAATTTTTTTAAGAAGAAAATTGCAAAAAATTCATGAAATAAATTTAACGAAATTCCAAAAATTGATTGAAAAAGAAAACTGAAATTCTTTTCTAAAAGAAAAATTAAATTTATAATTAAATTTATATATTAAATTTATATTTTCAAAAGCGATTTTCTGCAAATTTTTCTTAAAACTTCTCAATTCAATTCCAAATTTTTTTCTTCATTCTATGTTAGATTTTCTTCTTTGTTTCTGCATTCGCTTTTTTTTCTAAATATGAAATTTTTGAAATTTTTTCCTTGTATGAAATTATTTTTATATATTTCGGCAAGGGAAAATAATAAATATTATCGATTATAAAAATAATAAATCCAAAAAAATATTATAGAATCGCTGTGGGTGCCAAGTCATAATTTTTTTCTTTTTGGAAAATAATCATTCAGTTGTAATTTTCTTCTTTTAGTTTTTTTTTTAATCAGTTGATAATTTTCAAGATTTATGTCGAAGAAATATTTCTTTCTATCCAAGTTTTTTGAACCATCCGACTAAGAATCATCGGTTTGGCTCCTGCCATTGGCATGAGGAAGCCTATTGTTAAGCGAAAATGCGAGAAGTGCTAGTGTGCCTCCATCGCCAGTAACTTTTTAAAAAAATTTTTAACAGTTAGCAGAGATAGCTGAACCAACTAACAGTAAAACAAAAGTATAGTAATTGCCCTGTTTTTTTAATATATACATATATATATTACAAGCGGATATAAATACATTGGTATCCCACAGTCACATGGTAACCAGTCATCAGCTACGCAATTGGCATAGTAATACAAAGGAAGACATATAAGCTGCTGATGTGAAGACCTGGAACCTCCTAACAATCATGGAAATTTCCACGTTAAGTCTAACATTGAAAAACTGAAAAGGGCCGTGGTGAATATTTTGAATAACATTAAGGAATACATCAGCAATATGGCACCAAAGGAGTTGCTGAGAGAATGTTTGAAACATCTACATACATTTAAAAAAAACCAAGTAAATGAAGTATCATGACGAAGCAAGAAATCCATAAATCGTACCATCGAAAAATTGACTGAGGTAATTGACATTGCGAAATCACTAATGATTAGAAATAGCTATAGGAAATAGGAAATAGACTAAAGAGCAGCAATGAGACATAGTAGTATAAGAGTTGATATTAAGCATTAGATCCAATGAAGCAGGAATCTTCCACGCTAGGCAGGATTCAAAATGCAGATTGCATAAAAACGATAACAGTCCAACACATAGTGGCAAGACGTAAAATGAGAGCAAAAAAAGCATAATTGAAAGGAAGGCATTACAGGAATATCTGCTCAGTACATGGCTTAAAATCTTCCAAGAATAGATGGGAGATTCCAGAGAAAATCATAGAGGATAAGGCGAAGAGCCTGTAGGATTTCTCCAGAGAGACAAATAAATACTGGCTAATCAATTAGATATCATGGTGCAAGAATAAAAAATTAGCATTGGGATAGATATATCATATATATATATATATATAGATATATAGATATACCAAGTAATCGGAACGTTAGGAAGAAGGAATATGATAAGATAGAGAAATACCAGGGGTTGAAAGAGGAACTAGAAAAAATTTGGAAAATGAAGACCAAAGTAACCCTAGTAAATCGGAGCATTTGCACTGTGAACCCTAAACTAAAAAATTGAGAGATCTCTATCCAGAATAGCGTATTGCTAAGAACACATGATACTACGCAGAACTCTCAGTCTTCCAGGCCTCTGGTGGAGGATTTGAGGTTGAAGATACTCACAGGGATTTTATATGCATATAACATATATTTATTTCAATCTATATCGCAAAGTACTTATTCATTTTTAAATTTGATAATTTTAAATGTTTGTGTAATGAAACCAAAATTTTGCGGCTATATTTCATTTCAAAATTTAAATTCTTATTTTCGTTTTTATTTACCTTTTTTTGTTAATATTTTTCTAAAATCTGCGATATAAATTTTAAGGTTTTTTGATTTCGTGAAAGGAATCTTTTTTAAAATATCATGACAGTATGAAATTAAACGAAATAATTTGATTGTCGGCTGAATTCATATTTATTTTGTATATATTATATATATTTAGCTATATTCTGGCTAATTGAATCATTCAGCCATCCTAAATGAGGCACATGACTGGTGAAGTGTCTTGATATCATTTTTGATTATTCGGTACCTAGGAACACTTTTTTGTGTTCTCTTTTTTTTCTTTCCATTAATTTTATTCATATTTTGTTGTACTATAGCATCCCTGAAAGCATGGAATATTACATGCTAGCATAATTTGAAGAAATATAGCAACAATAAATACGCAATTTTATTTATATTATGCAGCTATAAGCTGGAAATAAAAATAAATAATGCACACAGCAGGTATTGAAAACTAACCATTCACTTTGGAATCAGGAGGATCGAATGATTAGTTTAGATTGAGAGTCTGTGCTTTACTACTCCTACTACTCCAGACAAGAACGGTCTGTCTTTAAAAAATCCGGTTTATGCTATCAACTCACCTGCACTTTCATAAATGATTTCCAGCCATACTGCTAACCAACTGCTCAGCAGAACGAGCACAAATAGAAACGGAGAGTGCTAATTTTTTTTGATTATAGTCGAATTTATTTTTCATGCTTGGCATTGTTTATCTAACAGTTATATATATTTTTTGAATTATTTTGCAGCTTTCTCCATGTTATTAATTATTTATATAATAGAAATCAGTTTCCTAATGATGGTTCACCTGTAGCTCTACCGCCGAGAGAATCCATGCCATATCTGTTTAGTCTGAAAAGCCAGCGGAACAAGTTTAACCAGCAATGGTGAATGCTCTTTTAAAAAATAAAAATCAGTTTATTCCACTCGCTAAATTGAAATCTCTTCAAAGGTTCGTAAATGCTAGTTTATTATAATATTTATCATGATCAAAAATTCCGTCAAATTTTAACTCTGAGTTGCCAGCTTTTCGTTTTTCTTTTTAATATTCGTTTTCAGTTGCATATGGAATATCGCCTAATGAAATAAAATAAAAAATCTGAAATTTAAAAAAGTCTAAGATGACAGATAAAAATAAGAATTTCGAGGTACCTTATTTTCCAATGAAAGGATGAAATTTAAAAAAATTATAAACCTTTAATCTTGCTGAAAAAAGGGTTTAATGGATTTATCCGAGTGAGAGAGGTCAGAGGTCATCGAATATTCACATGCACATAAAACATATTAATAAAAGAACAATCGATGTAATAAAGATTTTTAGATGAGAAAAAAAATCATTTAAAGCCAAGTCAAATAAAATTAAATTCATAAAAAAATTCTGTTAATGAGTAGATTCTTTTCATTTTTTTTTATTTTAGTCGACAATTCATTTTACAAGATTAAAAAGTTTATTTAATTTTATAATTGTAAAAAGTGCAAATAAATTAAAAATATTCTTAAATCTGGTGAATTTGCTATTTATTAAATTATTTTTTAAATTTTATCATTATTTTATTACCATTTTATAACTTATTTTGAGAAATAATTGTGCTTCAATGATTTGAAATTTAGAAATTTAAATAAGCAAAATAAAATGAAATCCATCCAAATACCTTTCAACCTTAAAATAAAAATATTCACATTCATACCTTTTTCTTCTTTGTGCTACAGTCAGCATAATCAAACTATAATTAAGGATGGAGCATCTAATTCGGAATTCTCAATTGACCATATGCCATAAATACAATTTTCTTAAATCGATTATTTACATCCGCTCAACAACTAAACCAAAGATATACCTTTAAAAAAATCGGCTCATTTGGTTATTGAAGTTATAAAACATACAAAAGGTGTATGAATTTTTAAGAAAAAATTTCAAAAAAAATTCTGTAAAATTATCTGTAAAATTTTAGAACATAATAGAAACTTCGATAAATTTGCAAGTTTAGAAACCAATTTATTTAAAATATTTCCAGAACCCATTGAAATGTTGGGGATACTTTGGATAAGGAGAAAATAATGAAACCGACGACCAAGTTTAAGTCATTATGAAGTTTGAGTCATGTAGGAGAGTTCGTTTGATAATGAAGATTATTATTTATTATTTCTTCTTCTAAGAGCTCACCACTGCTGATTAGGCTGATTCCGCTGGCTAATATCATAGGCTGTTCGATCTGATGCTATTGCGGACAGTAATAAAAGCCGTTCCTTTTTCCATCGTCTTGGTCCATATATCTGATACGTTCAAAGTTTTTCCTGATTGTTTCAATCCAGGTTTTGATTGACGCTCCTCGTTTATTTGCTATTTATTATTTACTATTATTTATTAGAATATTATTTATAATATTTACTTCACGTTTTTAGTAAGTTGTTGATAATTTTTAGTTTTAGTGGTAAATATTGAAAAAAACTGGAAAATGAATTAGGTGGAAATATTATGATTATTAATAATTTGACAAGGATCATTAACAATCTATTAATTGTAAGAATCTGTTAATAATGAAATTCTTTTATCATTTATTAGGTTTCTTTGAAAGCTATTGGATTACTTATTAGATTGCCGACTTAATAGATTTTTTTTCCATTTATATAGGTTTATACAAAAGACTTATACAAGCTTATATAAGCTAATTGGTACGAAAGATGCGCCCCTAAAAATGCCCCTAAAAATTACTTATGCTCAAGTAATTTTTTGGCGAAAAGATTTCAAATTAATATCCAGTAGAGCAGGTCAAAAAGAAGAAAGATAAAATTATTATTATGATAATGGATTTCAAATTCGGTACATTTGATAATACTTTTTTCAAACTTCTAGAGAATTTAGGTAACGATAATTCATTTGTAGTATAATTCGCAGTTTGCATTATATTTTCGTTTCCTCATTTTGCCATATGTATTTGTCGATTGATATATTTTTTGTCTATATACAAGATGCTGACAAATTACCTATTTTTATTAATTTATTGCCGGTTGAGGAAGTGCCCGATTTTAAATACCTTGGATCCACACTAATACCGAATGGCCAGACAATTGTAATTGTAATGCGGATAACTACAGCTAGAAATATGTTTTTCCGGTTGATAAAACCTTTGTCGCGAAATCACCATAAAGACGAAAATCCTCATCCATATAGCTGCTATTCGCTCAATTACAAAAAGTGATAAGATATGAAAAATTTAGAAATTTATTGGAAAATTATAATTTATATAGAAATTTTCTAAAAATTTCCGATGTATCTGAAAAAATACATCTGGTAGATTTGAGTAGATTTGCATAATTCATTTTACCTGAGAAATCCTATATCATCTTGAATTACATTCCATTTTAATTATTTTTTGTATGCTCGCAAATCTGAATAAGGGATGCTCCCATCTCTAGAAATTTTTGCCAGGAAGTGAAAATGCCGAATATCACTACTACCATCAGGATTTATTACTGATAGTGGCTTAGCTAGGCAAGGGCCAAGTTACTCACTCTCAACACTATAATTCTTGACCACTCAACGTCCTTACTAAAATATTTCTGTAAAATTTCTATATATTTCTATAATTTCTATAAATTTCTATAATTTCTATATATAAATTATTTTATTATTTCTATAAAACATTTATAAATTATTTTGGATATTGTCAATATTTATCTAAATTTTTTGAAGTGAACTTATACAACAATTTGCAATGCTCGTTCTCTATTCCAAGTTTTAATTAATTCTTAATTCATAATTTTTTTATTTTTTATTACTAAATTACGCTTCTAAGTCACCGATTTAATCATGTATTTTGCTATTCTATTTATTCTATGATAATTTATTTACTCATTAATCGTTTTATTGTCTGTTTTCATAATTGTTAGCATTTTCATGTTCTTGAACTGAAATGTTTGGTACTTTTTAGTAAATTTCTTTGTTTCATATGCCATATAAAAATTTTTTTTCAGTTTTATCCATTCATTTTATTGTTTGAATTTCTTTTATTATATACGCTATTTATTAAATCTTATCAAGAAATCGGTAAGAAAATAAATAAAGGTCATTTGAAGTTGTAAAGCATGTAATATTAAATTTTTCTCATCGAGATATTCAATAAAATTTTGGGAAAATAAGTATAAATTTGCATAATTTAATTTAAGAATAAGTCAAGAAATCAGTTGTAAATCCGTTGATTTTAATTTTAATAAATTTGTAAAAAAGTGTTTGTCTGTAAATTTATTTCAAATGAGCAAGAATGATAGAATTTTGATTTTAATTTCATTATCCTTTGATCGACTCTCTTCCACATTTCATCGTTGGCATTCGTAGCTAAAAATTCTTTTTCTTGTCTATAATGTGTTCATTATGAGTAATTTGAGATGCTGTGCATTTAAATTCTTCTCACTAAGTTTTTTCGAGATATTCAAATTTTTCTCAAATTTCAGAATATACTTAGCGTACCGTCAAAACAACTATGGGTATCAGATCGAAGACTTCATGTCTTGCGCCCTTTTTATTCTCTTCGCATAACGCCAACATTACCTCATGATTCCGGATTGTATCAGTGCCGTTTGGAAACAGATCCTTTGTTTGCACTTGCTATGTCCACTGGATCTATCCTACTCATTGTTATGGGTAAGCATTGCATAGTTTCACAATGTTTATGCTTTATCTGATTTCCCTTACCTACTACATTTACGATTTTTTTTGACACGATAACATTTTTTTAAAAAATTTTCCTACTTTTAATTTTAAAGGAATATCATTTTATAAAAAATTGAATTGCTAAACGAAATCCTTCTTTAATGAAAAATAAAACAATATTAGCAATGGATATTAGTTGCTGGTTATTATTTCTGTTTTTTTTCTTACGTAATTATCAAATTTTTGTTGTTCTTTTTTGTTGTTCTTATTAAAAGTTTTTCTGGAGAATCACAACAATAGTTTCGATTATTTTTGCTGTGAAATTAAATCTTATTTAATGATCGAAAATAAAAAAACCAATTATTTTCCAAGCTGAACCTTTTCATGAATTTATTTTCCCCTAAAAACCAATAATACATGTTTTACAAATATTTTTTTACCATTTTATTACGTAATCCCACAAGATTTTTTTAAATTTTTTCCTAAATATTCGTTCTTAAATACTGCAAAATATTCTTGGCAATAAATGTAAGTGTAAATGTAAATAAATGTAAGTGTCAATAAATGTAAACTACTTATGTAGTTTTTACAATATATTACAATATATTTTAATCGTTATTGATTCTTACCAATGCTATATTCACTTGGCTTTACAATATTCTTTATATAAGATCCATAAATTCTAAAATATTTAATACACATATTTAATATATTTGAAAGCTTAGTGACATGAAATCTTTTAAATTCATTTTAAGGTTTAAAAACTTTAAGGTTCAAGGTTTTAATTTACTTTAATTTTGTTTTAACTGGCAGCTTTCAAGAATTGAATGTTCAGTGGAATTAATTATAAAACAAGCCACTTTTGAAACAAGTCACGTTGTGTATATTGGGTGATCATCACTGTAGGGTGTCGAGAATTTCTATGGGACACTTGTTAAAAATTTCTTCTACAAATGACATTATTTATCCTATCCTATAAAAAGAGCTATTTGCTTTATCGAGTCAATCAATCAAAGAGTTCTTCATTGAATTTTCTATTAAGTGCAACGAAATCCATCTATATATAACGTGGATTTGAGCACCAATGAATCATTAGAATTTTCAACTATTAATCAAACTGTCCGATTTCGATTGACATCATCATTTTTGACCACAATAAAAGTCAAATAAGATTGATTGTTATAAGCAGTTCCATAAATTATAGGATGGTTATTGCTACTGAATAATTGATAACGTCCTATCGACTGTCTTTTAATAATTTTTATAATTTATAATTTTTATAATAATTTATAATAATAAAAAATTCGAATTCAACTAACATTCTTGCTCAGTTTCGAGGAAAAGATTATCATAAAATTTCTTCTTCGAAAGAAATTGAAAATGATTTTCTAATTTTTGTCGTTCATTTTAGCGAAATTAAAAAATTCATTTGAGAATGAAAAACTTTTCTGTAAAAAATTAAATTAGCAAACTTCATTATTTGTTCTTGGCTATTAGGATTAATTATTAGGACGAGGCTCTTTTGCTAAAGAATTGCTTAGAGGCAAAGTACAGGTAGGTCTCCAGCCCAACTTGAAATTTAATTACCGGCAATTAATTGCTGTGGGGAAAGAATCGAACTGTTTTTGATCTGAATATTAATCGAACATGATTTACATTTAATTGAAGCAACACATCATTCTATTCCAATTAAGAAATGTAAAATTTTTAGTTTTAGTGAGAGTTTCAATTATGACTTTGGATTGAATTTGTTTCTTTTTAATCGCTAGATAATAATTTGAGACTTTCTTATATAATTCGGATATTCGGAATTAAGTGATAGACGATTAAAGCTACAGAAAATATAAAATTTAATTTTCATTATTTAAAGATACTATATTTAAGCCAATAAAATATGGTTAGTGGAGAAAGAGCGATGGGGACGAGGAAAATGATTATGTGCGGAAACTTCTTTTGCGCAATCAGTGCTGAATAACTGTTTAAATGGAAATTTAACTATAGGAACAATTTTGTTTGCGGGCTCATTGAGTTCATTAAGCTTCTAATATCTCAATTTTTGACTTAATGAAACATTATTTTTAAGAGAAAGAGAGACGGTGCTTTATTTATTATAAATTTCTTTTAGTTTTATTGCTTAAATTACATAATTTTCATTAGATCTAAATTTAATCTTATTTGCTAATCTAGAAAATAAATTAATGGAGCGAGCGATGTAATGTTTATATTCCAATAAACAAGCAAACAGATTATCTGATATAAATGAAAGATTCAAATGATATTATTTCAAATTTGCTCAACTGTTCACTCGGCTGAATTGAGCATTTTAAATCTTTTAAAACCAGACAAATTGATAAATTAATAATGATAAATTGATATTTTAAATATTATCCATTAAATATTGTTTAAACGAGATGAGATTTTAAAATGATGTTAAACCTGTTAATGCAGTGATTTTTAAACATTTTGCTCTTTAAAAATTAATAAATAAAAATATAATAAATAAAAATGTAATAGCATAGTAAAAGCGATGCAGGATAATCGAGTGATTAAGTGGTTCAGAATGTTTTAAAGATTTTAAAGATTAAGATTGAGATTAAGATTAAGATTATTTTAAGATTTTATTTTTGGCTCCTATTTGGCTCCTATCCCCAGTAGGAATAAACCTGTTATTAAGAAATCCATGCAGTATTGATGACATGTATTAATTATTTGCTTACTTCTTAAGAGGTAGCAAAATAAAATATTAGTCCAATTCTAATATGAAAAGTCTATGATTTATTCCAGTATATATCATAAACTTTATGTTTCCGGAATGGCGATGGGATACACCACTGCAAACGATCTAAAAATCACGATCGGTTTTTTTTAAGATTTGAAAAGGATTTTACTAAGTTATATATCAAAAATATCCAAAATCAACAAATTTAAATTAGTTTAAATTGTATAAGATAATTTTATTTTACCATCACAATATGCAAAAATCGATAGGATTTTGAAAAAATGGTTTATTTATTTTAAAAAATCATTTCGAAATGATCACTTAAAGCATCAAAAAAATTACTAAAGCTTTAAGAACAATATTCAGTTTAATCAGATTTTAAGCTTAATCTCAACAAAATTTAACAAAATTTTATTTTAACAAAATTTAACCAAATTTCCTTATTTATTATTTTATCTCTATCAAAAAATTTGAAAAAAAAAGGTTTTGAAAAAGTTTTGATTTATTTTATATTGATAACATTCCCTAAGCTCAAGCTAGAATTGTATATTTCAGCTCTCGTAGCCAATCAAAATAAAAATTAAATAGGTACTAGGTTGAAGCAGTATAACTTTCCTAAGAGCAAAATTCTTTCAATTCCACTGAATAAATATGTTGAAGAAAATAATTTTCAGTGCGTCCACTATCTCCATCGAAGCCGGAAATATTATCAGTAACGGAAAGATCTGTAACACTTTCGTGGAAAATTTCTAGTTCTCAAGCACATAAGCCTATTCTGCAACAAGCAGTTTTAATAAGGTACTTTAATAAATAAAGAATTTATGCAATTATTATTTGTGATTTCTTATGTATTCATTTATTTGTTTTGTATTTCCATATTTTATTTACATATTTATTCACTCATGGTATGGAAATTCATAATCCTCTTTGATACATATTTCCTGTCATCATATGAAAGTCGCAAGCACCACCCGGATTTTGGCTTGAATTACGATATTTTCTCTCTATCAATGGATCGAACCTATAATAGAATAGAGTAGAAGCAGCATACTGCTCAGCTTTCTTATACTCCGTTATTCTATTATCAAACTATTTTGCATAGCTCTATCAGGCATTTACTTTTCATCTTATGTAAATGCACAAAGGAATAATTTATCATTGCTTCACTGATAGATTATTTGAAAATTAGCGATCAATAAGAATAAAGAATTTTTTTATTTCACAATCTTTTAGATTGTCTTTTTCCTCATTAATTGTTCATATTTTTTATATGCTTATGCAATGGACATCCAAAGTCCCTAAGAATTAAGTAGTCTTTTTTTTCAAGAGCGCTCATCAGATAAATTTTGCCAAGAGGCCACTTGGTGATAGAAATATAGCGCAATCAAAGGTAAAATCATATCAACCAATAAGTTTTTAAGATCTTCATTAATATTTCATTGGACTAGGGTTATCCGCGTTCATAGTATTAATATCAACGGAAATAGTATGGTCGAACGATATATTACTTAGATTACTAGTTCAAGCATCATGATTCAACTCCAGTTTCTGCTCCTTAACTAGAGCAAATCATATTATTAAAACTCAAACCCGAATGGTACTATTTATTTATTCTTCTGTTCTCACAAGATTACTTTTTTTTATCCTGATAATAAATGAAGCGAGCTTAATTGGTCGTCCATTATTCTACCTAATCGTTTCCAATGATATTTTGCAGAAGGCTATCAGATAAGGATGAAAGAATAATGACGCTACAAGGCAATAATACGACAGCAGTAATATCAGGATTGATGCCAATTACTCAATATGCATTTAGTATTAGACTTCAAAATGCAGCTGGGATTAGTGAATTCAGTCCTTTTACACTGCAGACTACACTCGGTGAAGGTATGTTCTTCATAATATTTAAGGTTTTTTTATTTTAATTTATCATATTTCTCGAAAAAAAATCTGATCTGCATACCTATATATTCATTTCATAGCATTATCATCTGCACCTAAAATTCGAAGTATCCAAAATACGAGTGATGGCTGTATTAAAGCACTTTGGGAACAACCAGTGGATCCAAATAATTCTCTTATTGGATATAGGATAATGATTCACCGTATGAGTACCAAAACTATGCGTGAATGGTATATTAAAGTTAGTTTTTACGAAATCTGGGCTGGATTTTTAAATTAGCTTGTTAAAACGCTTGCTGTGGTTTGTTTCCTCAGATTTCTGGAAGAAATTTCTCTTAAAAGTATGATATATGCCAAGACTTAGTTATTCTACTGATAAGTATAAGTATTTTTCTTGCAAATACTGTGCTTATATCTGGTTGCTGAATGAATTTTCGTTTGATCAAAAAAAAGAGCTTTTGAAATTTTAGTTTAACCAATAGAGTAGCAGAGAAGACCATATGATCAGTGAGAAACTTGACTTCGTTCTAAATGATTCCTTAATGATCATCATACTTATAATTCTATAAAATTTCCGGTTTGGAACGGAAATATTAACGGAAATATAAATTTTCAAAAACATCGAGATTGATAGAAGAATAATTAATTATTTTCAGCAATAATATGACTGAATTACTTAAAATTTTAAAGATAGTTCGCAAAATTTCTTTTCTACGGAATGATTCGACTGAAATTTTCCTTATTCAATTCAAATAATTCCAAAAAAATTGTAAGAAAATCGATTCTAGAGTGATGAGCATGTAATATGTGGATTACCTTACAATTCAAAATATCAAATAAGTGTTGAAGCTGATAATGGATATGGTTATTCACCCAGTGCTTTGGACACTTTTTATACCGATGAATCAAGTGAATTACCCATTTTTAAATTATGATGCTTCTTCAATGCTTTAATTCAACCTTGCTTGATGTCGAAAAATTTACCAATCTCTATGCAACACTACTAATTTTAGTACCAGACGGACCGCCAGAAAATATAAAAGCTCAGGCTTTTTCTTCAAGCACAGTTGAAGTTAGTTGGAATCCTCCGAAAAGACCGAATGGTAAAATTATTGCTTATCAGATTTATATCAGATTAGAGAAAGAAGAACAACCACTGAGGCTAAAAATTCATGGAATTACTAGCATTAACAAAATTTCATACAATATATCTGATCTCCGTTAGTTTTTTTTTAATAATAACAATGCTAAATTTTACTTTTTAAAATATAAATCAATATGTATCAAATAAAAAATCTATAAAATGGTGTAAAAAATTTGGCGCATTTGAATTAATTGATCTAATTAAGATGGTTGGGTCGATATATTTTCTCTAAGGTCATCCATGCATCATGGGGTCGATCCTTATCTCTCGGCGGGATTAAACTTACCATCAAATGTGAAATTTAGGTGGTCCATTTGTACTAGCAAGGTTTTCTTAGAGAGTTATCATCATAGTCAGTGGAGCTATCCAAACCAGAAATGAATGCTATTGGAAGAAATATTTCAACTTGATATCAAAATAGCCGAGAATATTTGATGAATTGTGATAAATAATAGAATTAAAGTTTTTCATTATCCATAAAATTTATTTTGAAGGCGACTAAAAATTTAATTCTTGTACGTATTTTTTTCTATGAACTTTCATTTCTGGTTAGATTCACTCCGCTTGCTTAGGTGGATCGGGCCAATTTTTGCCAGAGGATCATTTTACCAGACATCGGAAGTATAAGTTATCATAACTGGAATTTGTAAGATAAGTTACTTCCTCGACGATTAAAGCTTCAGCATTAGCACTTCCAAATGAGAACAAAAATCCACTGAGCCATTCTATTCCTTCTCGTCTTTTTTGTCTTGAAATAAAAGGCTAATAATTCAATAATAACTGTAATAATATCTAAAGCCATCATGTCTAAAGCCTTCATCTCATTCCAGAACCATATAAGACGTATGCATTAATGGTATCAGCATTTACAAAAAAAGGTGAAGGAGATCGAAGCAACGAGATTTTCGTCACAACGGATCATCAAAGTTGGTTATTTGATTTCTTCCAATTTCAGTTTATTTTTGCTTACTTACTTACAGTTACTTTTCGCATTTATTTTTATTTACTTCTCTTGGTGGTTTTATTAACTGCTAGATTTAATATGATTAAATCTTTTCACCTGTGAGCCACTTGGATGTAAGTCTCCTCTGCATTTCATTTTACTTTTAATGATTATCACAAAACATGCATACATATTTTTGTCACTTGTTACTCGAAAGAAATTCACAAAATCTTTCTCTAATCACCAAAACTGTATTGAAGCCAGTCCTTTTTGCAATATAAAATTCAAAATAATTTCGTTGCTGCTGAAAAATCAAAGAGAAGCGTTTATAAGTGAATTATATAATAGCATATAACAAGAAAAAAGGGCTGCAATTTACTGAGAACTTAACCTCAAAACCGAAATGAAATTTAGCTATAAAATCTAGAAGGTTTTAAACAAATTATGATGTAATGATATTTATGTATAAAGTAACGTTATTTTAGCTCCATCGCCACCAGAAATTTCAAATATCACATTTAATTGTAAGGATACAGTTACCGTTTACTGGAGTGATCAGTCAGAACATATACATTTTTATTATTTATTACTCGAAGGAAATTCACAGCATTTTTACAATACTACTTCAAAAATGGTTTGATTTTGTTGTTCTGGATTAAACCATAATTTTCTAAAAAAACAAATTTTATAAAAAATTTTCTCGTTTTTAGTGATCTTCAAGAATTATGGATATTTTTTATGGTCATCTTTTTTTTAAGTAGATTTGTTAGGAGAACTCCATTACGAAAAAAATTTCTATCACTAATTTAAACAATTGAGTTATATAATTTCGTCGAAATCAACACCTTTTTTATTCCTTATTTAAAAAAAAAATTTGTTATTTTTCAGGCAAATTTACAGAGATTAACGAAACATTTACGATATTCCGTAAAGGTTTCATCAGTAATTCGAAGTATTCTCAATAATTCAATGCCAATATTTAGTCAGTGGTCAAAAGATGAAATATTTCTTATCGATGGTTAGCAAATCGTTTTTTTGATCAGAATATGAATTTTTCGTCTTCTATATATTATACTATTATGCTATCCTTTTTTATAAAATCAGTTATATTTTTATATTTTATCAGCTATATTTTTATAGTTACATTGTTATCAGTTTATATTTTTACAAAAATATTTATAAAAATTTATGAAAATCAGCAAAAATATGCTTATCGAAAAATAAATAAGTAAATGCTTGCGCTCGTCATTAGACTAGCTGCGCTGGGCGTTAATACAGTTATAACATTTATTAAGGAACTACTTGGCGAAAAAAATGCAGGCTTTACCAGCATCACTTGGACTTTTTTAAGATGTTTAGACTCCTTAGCTCAGGGAATCTATAGATGCTCAATGCAAATGGAAGCAAACCGTTCAGAGGACGTCGTAATTATATATATATATATATATCTGATATTCATTCAACAGTAAACAAAAGAATTAAATATATTTTTAAAAAATTAGGATATTTGACAAAAATAATTGTGTTTTTGAATGAATATTTTACAGATCAGTGCAAATTAAAATCTTCATTATGTTCGTCTCCACTCTGTGAGTCAATAATACTGCCTTCTGTACCATCAGTTTCACTACCTGTAACTATTTGTGCCTTCATCGTCGCTATTATACTTTCTTTACTTGTTGTTCTGGTTATTAAGAAGTAAGTTTATTTTTTCTTTGAGCCTAGTTGCTGGATGAATAGATTCAACCATTCATTCATTCATTTACACTTAGGCGTTAATAATATAACAATATAATAAAGAATGTGGAAAAAAAATTGTGAAAGAAATACATCTATAACTAAAGGTTTCATTATAGAAAAAGGGAGATTACACTTTATTATAGAAAAAAGGAAGCTCTCTCAACTGGAGATGAGTCAACTCCACCTTACATCCCAAACGCAAAATAATCGAAAGAAGAAAAAAAGGAATATGCGCGGAACAAGCTGGGAAGCTGGAAATTGCCTTCTAATATCTCTGTTGCAAAGCAGAGTAGTGCAGTTGATATGAGGCTAAAAAGTCTTGGATAAACTGGCTGTAGTTAACCATTAAGTCTGAATACTGAGGCTCAATAGGGTACTCCCAAATAGTATACTTGAAGATGCAAGTAGACGTCTTCGCAACAATTCCTACTGCTACTATAATGGAAACCAATGAATTGGTGTGTGCTACAGCCATTAAAATTCTGGAAATGCTGCAATTTAGAATCAGAAAGAATAATAATGCACGTGGCTCTTGGCAAATACGATAAGAGATCCGAGAGATCCATGGAAAATAAGATCAGAGCACAATGCAGAGAAGTTAATCAGTTGATAGAACTGTAGAAAGGTATGAAAAATAAAGCATCTGGATATTGGGAAAAAGGCTATATCATCAGAAGCCCTCGAGATTGCTAAACAAAGGTTCACAGCACTGGCCATTAGGCTAAGGAGGTAGATTAGAAAAACAGAGGCTAAAAAGATTAATGCCCTGTTCTCCAAAGGATCGTCCAAGGTGTACTTTCAATTTCAGTGATGGTAACAATAGAGCCACCAACGACAGAAATTATAAGGTGCTGAAAGAATATATGGCAGAAAATGGCTGCAAAATCTAATAAGTCATTCCAAGAATGACCTACCATCACACTTACTGACATCGACTGTAACATCGACTTAACATCAAATATATGAAAATATGAAAAACTGACTACTATTCTAGGTCTTAACCCTCTCAATCAGATAATTACGAAAAGTGGATATGAATACAAGTTCAAGAGCGAAACTGTATTCATCAGATATTTTCACTATATGTATTCATTCATTCATCTAACACGAATCTACAATGATAAAACTAGGATGTCCTTCAGACCGGAAAAGTGTGGCTGGATGGTAATAAATAGAGGAAAAATAGTAATGACTATTTGAGCAGAATTGCCATTAGGACATATATCGGACCTACAGGCTAGCTATTTTAGTATCCCATATCCCACAGTAACATGGTAATCACGATGAGGAGTCAAAGAAGATTGCAGAGAAAGGGCAAAGAACAAGACAAATCTTGAAGAGCCACCTTAGTGGGAAAAATAAAACCTATGCCAAAAACATTTATTTGCCTGTCAGATATCAGGTACGCAATTGGTATAAAAGACAAAGAAAGAGGCTGCTGATGCTGCTGAAGAACCTGGAAACTCCTCATAATCATGAAAATTTGCGCCTTAAGTCTAACATTCAAAGATTATACACCAGCCGAAAAAAAGGCACGTGAGGCTTGGTGATGTAAGTTACCATCTTGAATGAAGCATTAAGAAATACATCAACAATATGGCACCAAAGGATGAGCTGCTGAGAGAATGTTTGAAACATCTACATACATTTAAAAAAAAACCAAGTAAATGAAGTATCATGGCGAAGCAAGAACCTCCATAAGTCATACCATCGAAAAATGGCTGAGGTAATTGACATTGCGAAATCACTAATGATTGGAAATAGGAAATAGACTAAAGAGAAGCAATGAGGCATAGCAGTATAAGAGTTGACATTAAGCATTAGATCCACTGAAGCAGGAATCTTCCACGCTAGGCAGGATTCAAGATACAGATTGTGCAAAAACAGAAACAGTTCAGCAAATAGTGGCAAGATATTAAATGCAAGTAGAAACAACATAATTGAAAGGCATTACAGGTACATCTGCTCAGTACATGGCTTAAAATCTTCCAAGACTAGATGGGAGATTCCAGAGAAAATCATGGAGAATAAGGCGAAGAGCCTGTGGGACTTCTCCAGAGAGACAAACAAATACTGACCAGTTAAATACCTATCAGGGTTATGAAATCAGCACTAGGATAGATATACCAAATGAGAAAGATCTGTTTAGAAGAATGCATTGCTAGGAGCAGCTAAGATACTAGATACTACGCAGAACCCTCAATCTCCCAGTGCTTTGGTAGAGGACATAAGGTTGAGGAGGATCCTTAGCATCCAAAAGAGGTGAGAGAGGGATTATATTACGATATTATTTTTCTTAATAGTTTTTCTTGCTTTATTTTTTAATATTTATTTATTTTAAGACATTGTACGTTAAAAAAAGAATTCAAAGATGAATTGCACAGAGACGATACAAAATATTTCATCAGTGGTATTCATTTTTCTGTAAAGTTTAATTAAATGATGAGTGCACCGAGTTTTTCCATTTGTTCCTATATTTTTATTCTAAAATAGGTGATTATTCTGAAATGATAAAAAATTCAGAAAAGCAAAGTAATAATAATAATTTTTATAGTAATAAAATAATAATTTAATTTTAACTGTGCTGTTAATCATGCCATAATTTGTATTTGCCATTTTTAGATATCGAAAGTGCTTCCATACCTGTCGAATTATTCGATGAATATTGTCAAAAAATGAGTAAAGATGGTAGCCTAGGATTCCAGAAGCAATTTGATGTAATTATGATTCATTCTCTTATATTTTTGCTAATTACATGTTTGCGCGACATATTTAGAAAAGTAATTTTGTTAAAAATAGAATTCATGATTTTTCAACAACTTAAAATAAGAAATTATGCAATTTTTTTAATCAGAGGAAATAAAATCGTAGAATATTTCCTATCGAAGCGAAAAATTAGAATAAAATTTATGCATTTATCAAATTGCATTATTTACGAATAAATTCCGGAATCGGCATTTAAAAGGTTTTTCATTTTTTTCCACTTTCAGGATATCGAAAACGATTCAGAATTTATCGAAAATTATAATGCTGATGAATATCGCTCGAAAGATCGCTATTTAAATGTTTGTGCTCTCGAGACAACTCGAATTAAATTATCATCGAGTAGTAATTCGGACTATATTAATGCAAATTATATCGATGTAAGATGATTTAATTTCTTTAGCCATCAATTTTTCTTTTTAATTATTTTCAAATATACATTAATTAAGCTGAAAAAAATTTATACAATTTGTTTTATTTTAAAAATAAGGAGTCAAAAAAGAATTGAAATTTAAGGCCGTTAATTTGTAACAAAAGAACTGGCCCTGTGGTTTAGGTTACTATTATTTTAAAATTTTCGATACGAGCGCTCTTTCCATTCTATTAATATGTTTAAAAATTTTTGCCAGGACACTTGGCGATAGAAATAGAGGTAAGACACCAGCGCCATCCAGTGATGATCACAGTAGTCTTTGAAATCGTCATCGCTTTCGCAAGGCCATTTAAGATATCGCAGTTTATCATTAGCACTTTTTTCCAGAGATCTTCCCTTACTTCATCCTGAAATTTTCCATCCCCACAAATTTGCAAAACACTGATTATGAATCTCTCAAAAGGATAATCTAAACAATTAATGTTTTAACATAAATTAATATTTTTTAAAGTTTTATGAAGTATTTTGTATTTCGAAAATTCTATTTAATACTTCAACATTGATGAATATTCATGCTTAAAAATGCTTAAAAATTTTATTTTAACAAACTTCTTATTTTATTTTTTTCAGAGTTGTGAGAAGAAAAACGCATTTATTGCAACGCAAGCTCCACTGCCGCACACATTCGCTGATTTTTGGGAAATGATTTGGCAAGAACATTCAAATATTATTGTCGTTATTACGAACTTGATTGAACACGGCCGAGTATTATTATCTTTTTATAAAACTCTATTTTGTCTTAAATTAAAGATTTAAATAATAATAAAATTTAGAAAATGATTGAAAGACGTACATGATGATCAACGTAGGAAATCTTAAATTTTTTGAAAATTGAAAATTTTTTGAACTGAAAATAGCAATTTAATACGGATTGCTAATGCTCACCGAATTCTCATAGTTGTCGTGAGTGGATGAAGAAATTTTTATGACTTTGATTTGAGGTTCAAAGTTCAATTTTATGAACTTCATTTTATTTATTATGAAGAGAAAGGCATATTTTATTCAAAAAAGATCATTTTCATCGCTGTGTTTCTTGGACATCAGTGGTAGCACCTCTTGGACCAGATTCGCGAAAATTTTAATTTTTTTCAGCCTAACTTTAGGTCTTCTTCTTATTATCTTCTGCGCCTGGTTTGGTTGTTTCTAGTAGTTGTTAAGAGTAATGACTTCGTTAAAAAAGTTATTCGAAAGCAGAAGCACAGCTTATTGTTATACATCAAAATGTAATGTAATAAAACCGAAAAATTCACATTTGTAAAAGCTGATTTAAAGTTTGATCTGCTGACAATAAAGGAATTCGAAATAATGAATAAATAATAAAATAATTTTCATTATTAATTTTCATCAACGAAATAATTTTTTTCGAAGAATTTTTTAGCGAAAATGTGACCAATATTGGCCTCGTGAACCATTAACTACGCAAGCTTATCGCCATTTTTCGGTAGTTTTGGAAGATGAAAGATCTAATGCACATTTTGTTCATCGATATTTAACTCTCAAGTCATCAAAGTGCATTTTAGTGAGTTTTGTTTTTCAGCGACAAATTTTTGTTCAGCTATTTTTGGAATTTGGAAATGGAAGTTTGGTAAATGGCTCTATATATCCAAACTTATAAGAATCATTTTCCGAAAAATAAAAATTATAGAAAATAAAAACTAAATAATCGCGAAAAGTAACATAAATATGTCATTTGGATAGCTTTTCTTTTTTCAAATATTTTTTATTTTTTTCTTAATTTAAATTTAGACTTTTGATAAATTTTAAATTTCAGAGTGAACGCAAGATTCACCAAATTCAATTCATTTCATGGCCTGATCATGGTGTACCAAAAACCGTTTTTCCTCTTCTTTCATTTTTAGAGTATGTTTCAAAAATTCCTGCGGCTGGCCCCACTGTTGTTCATTGCAGGTATTTTGCATTTCATAGATTTTCAGACATTTTGATTGAGATAGTTCGAGCTATTACAATAATTTCGCTCCAATTATTTGAATTTTCTTTCATTTAAATATGATAAAATTAGCATTTAAATTAACTATTAAATGGTGCAATGCAAACTGTTTTTTGTGCTCTAAGCTTTAATTTATTTAGCGCAGGAATTGGTAGATCTGGCTCATATCTACTAATAGAAAGTATGCGAAGACATATATTGGTTTCTGATTCGCTGAACATTGATGGTCATCTTAGGCATATACGAAAACAACGTGCGAAGCTGGTTCAAACACTGGTATTATTCAAAATTATTTTAAGATCAAATTATTATCCTACAATTTGAAAAAAAAACCGATTAGACATTCCAAACCGATTTTTTAGACGTTCCAAAAATGGCGAAAATCTGCGGCTATCTTTCTATATTTTTTTGAAAAAATTTACGTTTAAATTTGTGAAATGACTACGTTCACTTTAGTTTTATTTGTATAACCTGTAAGAATTGGCAGTATAAGATATAAAATTAGATCTTCCTCTGAGCATCACTTCTTCTTCTAACAGCTCTTACAATTATTGATTAGACTGGCTTCACTGGCTACAAGATGTCCAAGCTATTCTGTCCGATGTTATCGCTGGCAGTAAGAGAAGCCATTTTTTTTTCTGTTGTCTAAGTCCATATATAATTGGCCCAGTCAATTCTTGTAGTGGGCGGCAAAAAGCATATTCTAACCAGCGAAGACGGCTGGTTCTGTGATTAATGCGAGTGATATTTGAGTGCATGCAATCAGGTTCGATTTTTTCTTCTCGGTGGACCCGTAATTATCTTAAGCATGAGTAGTCAAAAACAAATAGCTTCTTAATATCCTCTATCTCAATAACCAGATCTTGCAGCCACATAGCAAGAAAGAGTGAACTGCGACTATATTGACGTAGGTAGGCTTTCATTTTTATAGTGATTTCGCGATGAGTCCATAAAGATTTCATCAACCTCAACCGGAAGAAAACATTTCTAGCTAGCTGTTGTTGTAATTTCATCTTTCGCTTCTCCATTTGGAACTAGCCTGTAGCATGGATTGTCTACTATGCAGTATTTAAACTCTGGCACCTCCTCAACCGGCAATGAATTTTCAAAAAGAGGCATTTTATCAGCTTCTTGCATAGTAGACAAAAAGACCTTTCGTTTTATTTGCATTGACCCTGAGTCTAATTTTCTCTGCAGTTGCTGACACGTTATTTAGTATTACTTACATTTCGTTATAACTGTTAGTAAAAAGGACTACGTCATCAGTTATTCACGGTCTGTAACATTGATGCTCTGGACAGATTTGTACATCTATACAATCTATCGCATAGTTGAATATTGTAGAAGAAAGGACGCAACCTTGACGGACACCAGTTTTTATTTCGAAGGAGTCTGTCCCACATACACAGTACCAAAATGCCTTTATGAGTCAAATGATCTTCTCTGGAACACTGTCGCATACTTGTGATGTGACGGTGTTTTATCTGATATTTGAAGCAATATTCCAACATTTTAGCGCGAACATCTGCTCAGCAAAATCTTATCTTGGTCTGAACCAAGCTCACTTAGGGCGCACCCTGTCTCTTACTGCCATAAGTCCATTCACTAGAAGGAAAGCGAAAATTTTCGCGGATATATCTAATAGGCTGATTCCTCGATATTTGCGGCAATATATCTTATCATGTCATCATCCTTCTTGGAAATTAAGAACTGTTTTGCTCCAGTTATCTGGTATTATTTCTTTCTTCCACACCTTGGAGTAGAAGATATGTTATGAAGTGCGATGGACAATATTTGAAGCTTTCAGGCCAAAGACCATTTTCTCCGAAAGTTTTTTATTGGCTTCTGGGTAACAGAGATTATTTCCTTTTCTGTTGGCGGTTCGCAATTGTATGGTTCGACGAGGGAACCAGTATTTCTGGAGCAACAGATGATGCATCGTGATTAAGATGCCAGTTATGCCGGTTGTCAGTAATGCCAGTTTACTGACCAGATATCAAAGAATTCCTTCTTTTTTTATGAGGCATTCCTTAGTACATTTAACAGGCACACCATTGTTTCCGTACCATTTTACTGATCGTTCTCCGAATTATAGTTGTTTTCTTAATAGTTATGGCATTACAGAAGCGCGTTGTAACTTTGTATCAGATTATATAAAACATCGTCACCAAGCTGTACGCATCAATAACATTCTCTCTGACACGACAAATGTTAAATCTGGTGTTCCCCAAGGTGGCTGTATTACGCCATTGCTTTTTCTATTGTATATATATATATATATAAATGATAATGTGGTACTAAATTCTAGTATTTATCTTTATGCTGATAATTTTAAAATTATTATCATGGTGGAACACATAGCCTATCTCCACTGCAGGAGTACTTCAACAGAATAGTGAACTGGTTACATGATCGGCAAATTACCTTTTCCTTCCAAAATGTAGCGTTCTTCATATTAATTCTAAAGGTTTCGATTTTCCTAATCTTTTTATTAATGGTAATATAATCAGAAGAGTCTCACTCACACATTTCTGATGTAGAGATGATAATGGATGAAAATTTCGATTTCGACCTTCATTGCAGTAACATGGTAAAGAAATCCTCAAAGATACTAAATTTTATTTTTCGTTCGTTTAAGAACAAAACTGAAGATTTTCTTATCAAAATATACATGTAAATATACATCAAAATATATAAAATATACAAACGTTCTTCGGCCACTTCTTGACTACAATACTACATATTACAATACTACATATAGATATCAAGTAAAATTACTGAAGGGTTTCAAAAAATATTTTATATGACGCCTCTCTACTAATACCGATTTTAATTATAAAAGAGAATTTCTACTCTTATTAAATAAGATTTAATTTATAAGATTTTGTATGGTTATATTAAACTTATATTAGTATGGAAAAAAGAAATATTACCAGATGATTGGAGCAAAGCAATTTTGCTCCCAATTCTCAAGCAAGGTGGTAGGACATATTGCGACAATTATCGAGGAATCAGCCTATTAGACGTCTCAGCAAAAATTTTTGCTTCCCTGTTACTCAACAGACTTATGGAAGGACGGGACAGCAGGATGCGCCCTAATCAAGCTGGTTTCAGACCAGGGCGCGGTTTTGCTGACCAGATATTCACGTTAAGAAGGATGTTGGAACATCGCTTCAAATATGTAACCCACTATCACGTGTTTCATTGACTTCGCGGTTGCCTTTGATTCAATTGATAGAGCGGCGCTTTGGAGGGTGATGGAACGTGACGGTTTTCCAGAGAAAATCATTAGACTCATAAAGGCATTTATGAGCGCAGATGTGTGTATATGGGGAGATTCCTTCGAAATAAGAACAGGTAAGAAATAACATGTCAGAAACTGCAGCAAGAATCGGGAGCAGGATCAATGTAAATAAAACAAAAGACTTTTCTTCTTATGTGCAAGAAGCTGATAAAATGCCTCTTTTTGTAAATTCATTGCCGGTTGAGGAAGTGCCCGATTTTAAATACACCTTGGGTCCACTCCAATACCAAATGGGCAGGCAAAAGATGATATTATAACTCGGATCACGGCAGCTAGAAATGCGTTCTTCCGGTTGACGAAACCTTTATGGAATCGTCGTGAAATCACCATAAAAATGAAAGTCCGCATTTATATTGCCGTAATCCGTTCCATTTTACTATATGGTTCTGAGACATGGTCAATGAGAGTGGAGGATATTAAGAAGTTATCTGCCTTTGACCACTCTTGTCTAAGATATATTTTACGGATTCGCCGAGTGGATAAAATTTCACAAGATCGCATCCATCTTCGTTCAAATACCACTTGCATAAATACTTATATCTTTTCTAGTTGCATTATCACAGAGCGCCGCCTTCGCTGGTTAGGGCACATTTCTCGTCGTCCACCACATGAGTTGGCGCATATTTCGTTATTTGCGAAACCGTGTGATGATTGGCGTCAAAAGCGAGGTGGGCCAATCAAGACCTGAACTGAAACGGTGAGAAAAGATTTTGAACGTATAGATGGACCAGCAATATATGGACTTAAATAATGGAAAAAGGAATGGCTTCCATTACTGTCGACGATGGCATCAGATCGCGCCGCTCGGAAGCGTCTTACCTTTTTAGCCGTTGGAGCCAGCCTAACCAGTAATGGTGAGAGCTGAAGAAGAAGAAGAAGAAGTTATATTAAACTAGATGGTTCAAAATGTAATTTTAGGCTAAATTTGAATCAAACGAGAACTAATGGGCAAGAAATATTAAAACCTAAAATATGTAAAAGTAACTAAGAACTCATGACTTCTTTATTTGTACTATTAATTATTTGGATTAAATTATTGAACGATATAGCTTATGCGCTATCCCTAGTTATCATTAAGAAAAGAATAGATAATATTATTTATGATATTATTTAAAAAGTTCACATCATGCAGGAAGGGTGAAATCTCGATTTTCACCATCCGATTATAGTTATTTCGAATTATTCTTTTTTTATCATTAATTCTTATTGTTTGTTGTTTTAACTGTTGTTATTAATACAAGCACATGGTGTTTGTCGTCCTGCTTTGCTCGTTTTCAATAAATAAATAAATAAAGAAGGCGGAATAGTTTCCTATTATCACATCGAGCCGCCGTCTCCATTTCCAAGATCATATCTCTCCATAGCTATTTCTGTCCCTCTGTGCTACTGTTCTTGCAATTCTTCGAAGCATCCGATAGTCAGGATCTTCTGATATTCGAGCATCACTTACTTTTTACGAATTTTCATGAAGATAACTATAGAAATATAGAACTGGAATTTGGAAATGTAGAAAATGAGATTTGTAATAGAAAAAGGCAATTTCAGGAACAATATATTTTCTGTCATGAAACAATACGACAGCTAATTATTCACGGGATTACAAGAATACCTATAAATAATTTCATGCGCTATGTTCATCTTCTATTCTTTGAAGCTGAAAATGAACGGACTCGTTTACAAGTACAGTATGAGGTATAATATGTTTTGTAATATATTCGATACTCTTTGGAATTTTTATTTTAAAAAATACTTATTGACACTTTTCTACTTTTTAAATTATTATATCGGGAAATACATAAGAAGAAGAAGCTTAATTCATAATTTTTTAGGACATATGCAGGTGTAACCATTCGCCGAAATGTTCGGTACCGATTGGATATGAAACATTTGAGGTAAAATTTAAATCTTTTCCATTTGCTTGATTAGAATTATTTATAATGCTGTTTAAAAATGAATTTATATTTATTTCAAATTCCATGAACTGATTTTTTTTAAAAATTAAAAAAAGTAAAATAAACAGAGAGGAAAGAATTTATTTTCTTATAAATACTTATATCTTTTCTAGTTGCATTTCTGGTTTGGTTAGATGTTAGATCAGCTGAGTGTAGAATAAAATCCCTTCCGCAGAGATCAAATGCATAGGTGAATCGTCAGCATCATCTCCACTTTTTTAATGGCAGGTTTGCCATTGCCAATGAATATCAATTGGATTGACCTTAGCCTCGAAATAGCATGCGCGTCGGTAGACGTTTTTTATCAATTCATTACCAGTTGAGGAAGTGCTTAACTTTAAATACCTTGGATCCACTCTAATCTCAAATGACCAGGCAAAGGATGAAATTATAACCTGGATAACGTCAGCTAGATATGTTTTCCGGTTGATGAAATCTTTATGGAACCGTTATGAAATCACAATGAAGACGAAAATCGACGTCCATGTAGCTACAATTCCCTCGATCTTGCTATATATCTGCGAAACATGGCCAATGAGAGTGGAAGATGTTAAGAAGCTATCGACCTTTAACTACTCATGTCTGAGATACATTTTACGGATCCATGATTGTATCCATCTTCGCTCAAAAAACCTGGATTGATATAATCAGGGAAGAAAGATTTTGAACGTATAGAGGACCAGCGATATATGGACTTAGACGATGGAAAAATGAACGACTTTTATTACTACTAGCATGGCATCAGATCGAGCAGCTTGCAGACGTCTTATATTCTTACTCTTGTAGCCAGTGGAGCCAGCCTAACCAGTAATGGTGAGAGCTATTAGAAGAAGAAAAAAGCCTTACCTTAGACACAGCCTTATCCGAATTAATTTTCAAAATGGCCTAAGATTCTTGATCCTAAGATTCTTCAGAAAACATATTTGAAGCATTTAATTTTATTCAGAAATATTTGCCTTATAGGGTTTTCATCGAGAGAATGAATTCATTGTTGCAACTTGGCCAAAAGAAACCGAAATGCTTTGGCAGTTAATATGGGAGAAGAACTGTCAAACGATTGTTGTGATGGGTGACGAAAATTGCTTTTGGACGAATTTAAAAGTTGTTGGCGATTTATTAATTACAAGAGACAATGATGACTTATGGATTGTCAGTAATAAAGAAGATCAGGTAACGACGGAATTTCTTGTTGTTTTTGCACAGTCGAGGAACTACCTAATTTATTTATTCTAACTAGAATTTTTTTCCCTTTTTCCACTTTTTCATCACTCAATCTCTTTATCCCGCAAAAAATTCATTTTGCCTTTATAATTTATTCATGCGAACCATATTTTAAAAAATAATGTCAATAAATCAAAAGCCTATTTCATTCGGCAGTGAATAGTCGCGAATAGTCGCGATTTGTCAAAAATTATTACTTTTTTACTTATTTAATCGAAAATTTATTTAATCGAAAAAAAACGGTTTTGACCCGATTAAATGTGAAAGGCCATTGTTATTATTATTTTAATATAGTCTTAGAAATTTTTTCTAAGTTCTTAGCGGAAAAAATCCTACGAATTTGTTTGAGTTATTTGTACGAACAATTGTGGTTTCACAATGTGATTTCGAATTCGATACTTGGGCAGAAATCGAACGATTACAACAAAGGCGATTGCAATATCACAATGGACCACTGTTAATATTAAATTACCAAAACAGTTCAATGGCTTATATACTTTGCCTCCTTACTAGTATTGCTTGTCAAGTGGAAAGTGAATCCTGCCTTGATGTGTTACAATTTCTATCGTCTTATAAGGAGAAATTATGCGGTATTTGGAACTCACAAGTACATCATATACCATTCTATTTTTTTACGCATGTAACTTCTATAGTAATGGCGCATATTTGAATTCCAGTGTGAGACATAATACTTCACCAAAGAGACGCTTAGGAATATAAGTTTAAGTAAGTTTCTACCCGGATTTCGCTTCCGACGAGAGATTCACTCTCTTGAAGGGAAAGAAATCGAACCTAAAATAGTTCGAGCCCAGTCGAAAAACATATCAACACTTATTATGGGAAATAAAACCATTTATTACAATATTAAGGGAGAAATATCCGGAATCTGCCAATGAAGAATGTTTTGTTTCTAGCGCAATTTTTAATGAAGTTATTCCGTGTGTGCCTATATTTTTGGTCCATAAATTGTAAATGATGGACTAAAAGATAGAACTAGCGGGACAAAATATCTATAATCGAAACTTTCGCAAAATGAGCTCCTTAACCGCAAATCAGTAATCCACTAATCCACATGTTTACCAGGTTTAGCAAATTTAGTAAATATTCCATCGCTGAAAGACCCAATCTTTATTTTTTCCAGTGTGATATCGAAATAATCTACGACAAATTGTTGATTCTCGTGCAACGCCTACAAAATGAGAGTTCATGCTGATAATTTAGCGAACAGTTCCAGCCGAGCACCAATCGACGTATCTTCATGTAAACAAACATTAAATACAGTTCAATAAAACCTCTTACATTGTCTTATTCACTGCAGTGAAGTGATATTCCACGGTGTTCAATAATAGATCTTCCTTCTACTCAAAATTCCCCCAGTCATAACAGTTCCCAATTTTTAATTTTTAATAATTCTTCCCGCGAAACGAATATCTCAATTCGAAAAATGCCTCATATCACATATAAATCACTCGTCTAAAACCGCCGTGATCCACCGGTACTCCACGCCTCCCTCCCACCTATCTCCTTTAAATACCTGAATAACGGCCGAGACTTATTTTATCTGACTTACTTCCAAATTTCAATTGAAGAAAAAGCTAATTTGTACAGATTTAAACTGAAAACCATTGGAAATCGACTTAAAAAGAAAGTTGCAAGGCTAATTTTCTCAACTAAATAGAACAGAATTAAATTAATGGCCCGTAACCCAGCAAAAATGTAAAATACAATGAAATACTTTTTATTTGATAGATAGACTGAATGGAATCTATCGAAGAACCCTATAGAACCAGTTATTTATTATTACTATCCATTCTCATTAACTTTAACAGCGATAATTTCCACACAAATTAATGCTACTAAATTAAACTAACCAATATTACTACGGGCCATAAAAATCGTTTCTTTAATAAAATATTTATATATAAATACAAACAAAATACAAAATAAAATACATACACAAAATTAAAGAGACCAGATTATTATTGCGTCGACCCATAAATAAGAACAATAATAATAAGCAACAATATACCAGCAAAGAAAAGAAATTAAACATTAAAAACAAATAAATAAAATACAACGCAATCCCAAATCTTTCAAAATCTACACAAAACATTTTAATCCCATTTTCTAAAAAATGAGGTGAATATTTAGATTCATTAGCTTTTGCTCAATTAAACAAAGCTTAAAATTTTATTTATGACTTAAAAATTAACAATTTCATTACCTTAATATATATATATATATATTCCCGCCATATATAATTCGAACTTGCACAAATTATCAACTTAAATGTGAAAAAATTATTTTAAAATACTATACAAATTTACTACTTAAATGTGGATCAATTATTTAGGTATACATTGTACCATTATTCATTGGCTCTTGATAATTTTCATCAAAGACAGCACCACTCTGCAAAAGCATTTCGAAATAAATAAAAATTTTATATCTGATCGTGTCATAAAACATCATCGATCTTTTTACTCACATATGTCCATGATTATTATAAAATCAAAACCTCAATGATTCATTAAAAATTTAACCGGATGATATTGAATTTTTTGATTAGGAATACGGGCTTCGAGATTATTAATCGGCTGAGGAAGCTGTCTATTCCACAAATCTGCTGGCATAACCTTTTCTGGATGATATGTTGCACGCATGTTTGGAGAATATATCGGATAACTGTAAAAGAAGCAACAAAACGCACAGAAATTTGCAAAATCATAAATAAAATAAAAACTAATTGACAAATAAAATAAAAACTAACCCCCTGTTATGCATTGGTGCCCCATTTGGTGGTCCAAACATGTGACCATAACTACCCGGCATATTTTGCTGTAATTCAGGTGGACATCCTTGAGGAGGAACAGGAAAATACGCGTTCGAATATGGTGGTACACAGTGAAAACTATCAGATGGATATTGACCGTATGCGGTTAGGTTAAGTGATGGCCGAAGCGGCTGAGATATCGATGGACCCGGCATAGTAGGAATTATCCCATTAACTGTTCCAGAATTAGAAGTGATGTGAAGAGGCATCTGCGGATAAGCAGGACGCTGAAATGCCGGGAGAATCTGCGGACCTGTATGTGAAGGACTGGAGAAATTTGGTGGAGGCATCATTGTTTGATTGGCTGCATAATGGTGCTGTTGTTGCTGCACCATTGACTGCGAATAGCCCATTTTCTGCGCTTCATGCTCTTGCAACAACAAATTCCATTTGGTTTGTGCTTGTGGGTCTGGCTTAGAACGGTCTGCCATTATCTGATGTTCAAGTGCTCTCATCTTTTCCAGTTTCGCATTGCGATCTTCTTCCCTACAATTTAATAATGCAACTAAAAATTTTGGCATTCAAATAGAAAACTTTTTTATCTTAAATGTCAAAAACGTTACGATCTTTAACTGCCATAATTTATATGATCGTATTCAATAAAACCCAACCTTCTAGCTGATAAATTCGAATCAGTGTGAAGACGATGAACTTTTGATGCCGGTTCAAACAGTGAGTCATGGGTCATGCGCTCCATTCTCCTAGAAATTAGAAATTAATGGAATTAATGAATTAATTTAAATTTATAAATTAATAAAATTCTGCCAATGAATTCACCAAATAACTTATTATTTATTGTCTAAAAGAAACCTTAGGGGATCGTCTCCAGTCGTTTCCTCATCACCCAACATTAATAAGTCGTTCGATGAAGATGAATGTTGCTCGCTTTGTCTTTGTTCAGCACTATTAGTTCTTGATGCACCATTTGAATTTGGTTGAGGGATCACAGAACAAGGTGAATTTGTCATCAAGCTGCCATTTGGTTGATTTGATGATCGAGTTTTCAATTCCTAAAATTGACATTATAACCGAATTAAACCTCCCTGATCAATTTCAAGTGACATTTACATTTTCAAAGTGACATGAATTCAGTTCAAAATAAAAAGAAAAAATTAATAAATTCTACAAATCTTTATTATATTACATATTTATTAAATTATGGCTATTATAAAGTATCAAATGCCCATCATTTTTTATTTTCAAGAAAAAAATTTGATTAAATAAACCCCGAGAAATAATGAAACCTGTTTCCGCTTTCTGCCATTTTTCACAATTTTATGGTTATCACTATTATTTATAATGCCATTTGGTAAATTTGATGTACTAGGTGGAAAATTTGCTTCGTGCCATTGTATTATTGACTCAAAATTCCTGAGGCGAACTTGTTCAGCCGCCTCATTCGCCATTCTCGATGTGAAAATGCGTAGCCGTGATTGTGGTCGCTAAAAATTAAAAAATATATATAAATATATTTATATATATATATATATATAAAATATATATATATAAAAAATATATACATCATTAGATTGATTCATATTTAATCTAGATCTTCACCAGGAAATAAGATTGAAAACGCCGAACCTCAATCGTCAATCGTCGAACATAAACCATATCTGTTGAAGTCGACGGCATAATACTTGTATTAGCTGTTGTTGTCAAATCATCATTAATCCGTTGCTGACCACCAAAACCACCAGGCCATGAGTTAGATGACGGGTAATTCGGTGAAGGTGTCGATATACTGTTACTGTTAATCGAATTTGGCGTCCTAAAATTTGGTTGCATTGGCTGTGGTGAAGAAGTTGAAGATTGACTTGTTCCTTGTTGCTGTGTTCCGGCTGCCGCTACCACTGCCATCAAATCATCATTGTTTATACTATTTGCCATCATTTGTTGCTGCTGTTGTTGTTCTGATGAAGAAGCCATCGATGCAGTGCCCCCAATGGATTCAAAAATTGGAAAATCAAGTGCTGGTACGAAGCTATTGCATGTTGCTTGTGTTGTTTTATTGTTTTCCATATATAAACTGTAAAATATAAATACAATTTTTCAATATGGGAAAAAAATTAAAAATCGCCAATTTCCTGCATTCAAAATTGCAAAATTCAGCAGAATATGACTAATATATAATATAAAATGGTAACAATAATAATAACAATATCAATAATGTAATTATGAAAATAACAATAAAAGTAATAATAAATAATAATAATGAAAATAATGATAATAAAAAATATTAAGTACAAATAATATTATAATAACTAACCTCGGAAGATCCAATAAAATATAAGGAAATAATACTGGCTAAGCAAATATGAAGATTTATAAACTCATATTATCCAACTATAATAAATTGCTACTGACCCTTAATAACGCTTCTTCATTCGTTATTATTAATTCTCTGCTCTCTGGAATAACAGCATCTATTATTAAATAAAAACGCTGTGACCTCTGACCCCTCAATACGATATAGGCCAAACAAATAACAAAAATGACATATTGACGATCTAGTTTGAAAATATTTAAATGTGCACCAGTGGCTAAAAAAGGACTATTTACAATTATTTTGACTGAATAAAATAGTGTTGTCACAATAATTCATATCGAGAGACAGCCATTTTCCACGAAAAAAAAAGTAAATAAGCAAGTGCAAGTAATAATTACAAGCGAATTAATTAATGTATCAAAAGATTATTATCATTAGATTTATCATTTCAGTTTCCCTTCTTTCTCCTACGATAAAGCCCTTTCCTCTCCGTGAATTATTAAATTACCATGAGAAAAACGTGCAAAATGCACAATTCCTATCATTTATACTTTTTTCATATTTTATTTGCTTTGCATGCATAATAATGCATGTGTGTGTGAAATGTCCAAAATTATTAATGAAACTAATAATTATAGTTTGATTTTTAGGCGGCATAAAACAAATTATAAATATATTAATTAATGATGATTTAAAAAAAAAAAAAACAAATGAAAATAGGAGGAAATTAAAAGATAAAGACAACGATAAAAGAACGATATAATTATATAATTCTATGGTACTTTTCGTTAATATCTCCTTATCGAACTAATGAACAGAAACAGAGAAAAACAGCGAGAGAGATGAGGATTTCCACTTCTAGTGAAAAATAACGAAAGGTGGCGATTCCAGAGAAATTCGCTAAATGAAAGAAGGCACCGAGCGGCCACAGCCAACCGAGCTAGAATCTTTTATCTTTCGCCTAGCGATCATGCATGAGAGTGGATCTGAAATATTTAAATTCTGATACTTCCTCGACCTTCGACGATTTTTATAAACTGCAATCTATCAACGTCTTATTTAGACTGATATTAGAGCCAACCAATTTTCGCTTCTCTTCACACCCGCACTAGCGCCTACTGCAGTTCGTTGCAGATGAAAAAGATCAACGTAAATCTGTGATACTCTGGACTGATTTATACATCTTTTTAGTGCCGGCAAGTGCCGATGTTCACAATCTAAGCTTATAAGTTGAAAAATGTAGAGGAGAGAACGCTACGAGGCAAGTGCTTTTCAAAATATTTTCTCAATTCCCCATAAATACATTTATCTGTGTTGATGCATGTCGATAAAATGCTCTAATAATCTAATTGTCTTTCCTGGAGCACCATCGTATTGCTGGTAGCCCTGCAGATCGAGTTAAAAACATAGGCAAAATCGATAAAACACATAATGACATACTGTCGATATTCGATGTTCTTTCCCAGAGTGAAAATTTTGTCATCCAGGTTCTACCAATTCTCTAGTCAGAGGGTCTCCTGCTTTCATGCACTGCCATGAACCTATTCAGCAGAAGAGAGAAGAAAAGTTCCCTAGAGATATCTAGCACAGTGGTTCCTTCATTGTGTAAGGTGTGATTTCCTTGTTCCAGTTACATGGCGTTTACTCCTTCGCACGGTAGTAAACAGAATTTTCGCGGGTGTGTTATGAAAAAGGCTTAATAGCCTCTGAGGAGTTCAGCTCTCGAAGGCCATCTTCTCTAAGGGTTTTATTGGTTTGTGATTTGTGATACAAAAATTATCACCTGTTCGGTTGGTGATTCATTGCAACTGTATAGCTCCAAATGCGTTCCTGTTGTATATGGGATTAGATGGTCCATCGCAATTAAGTTAAAATTCAAAGAGCTGCGATAAGCGATCTTGAAGATCTTAAAGGGATTTGTTCCTTTGCTTCGGATCATTTCACTAACGACTTCTCGAAATCCTGTTCTTTCATAGCAGGCAGAATAATTTTCGTAGATCGCCTACTCCAGCTGCTGTAATTTTTTCCCTACTTCATGGCGACTGTTGCAAATCTATGGGGCTACCCATAACTAGCAAAAATTCTTTGGTTCTTTATATGTGCCCGAAACACTTCAAATTAAATGATGTGAATAAGCTGACAGTACTATATTCTCTAAACTTTTTCAAGTTGGGATGCTTAACCGGGAAGTGTTGGAACTTTTGTCGAACTTTGATTAATACTCGTATACATACTTTTTTTGGTATTTATTGCATCTTAGAATCAGCGCACATAAAATGCAAAATCCAAACATAAATGAAATTATTATGAAACAATTTGATGATGAAATGTAAGCACTGTGCATTGTATGTGTGCGCATGTGTGTGTGTATGTGTGTATATATGTGTGATTAACGATCGCAACCAAAAAAACTACTAAACGAACAACAAATGCTCGTCGTTTTCAAAAATTTTCTGATAATTTTTTTTGAAAAATTCGGAAAACGTCGAATAAAAATAAATAAGAAGACAATTTACGCCGATATTCCGTCCTAACAATTATTTATCCTTTTTCCTCGTTTTTAATACGAAAGAATACGACCTAAATTACAAACAAATAGACAATCGTACTACTTGAACGTATACACATAAATAGTGAAAGAGGAGTCAAGGCAAGAAGAACGGGGAACCGATATGAAAAAATTATGAAAAACAGAATAACTTTAGGAAAACAAATATGAAAATATTTATGCTATCGCAAAGCAGATCGCAAAAACGTAAAAAACGTATAAAAACATGGACTATAGAAATGGAAAAAATATTCTGAAATATGAAATGCAAAAAAAGCAAAAAAAAAGTATTATATAAGTATTTAAGTTATATAAGTATTTAAATTTATAGCGAATTTAATTTAGATAAAATGATAAAAAAAAACGATTTTTAAAGGATTGAAATTACAAAAAATAAAAAAATTATTAAATTGCTTTTTGTCGAAAATTTTGCCGTAAAGAAATTTTAAAAAAATATGGAAAAAACAAGTGGAAGAGGTTGTATAGAAAAGCGTTCACAAAAAATTTACCCAGCCATCCTTCCCACGGCTATTTTCTTGGAAGGGCACAATAAGCGAACGGATAATGCACGATTATTAGGTGACCGCTAACCATTCATTTATTCACCCCCCTTTTGTGAAGCAACATAATATTCGCAACATACATTTCCAGCAAACATGTTTCCTTCGAACAAACACTGCGTAAAGAAAACGTTTCGAAAAAAATCGCAGCCAGAAAAATTCACCTCGATTTTCAGTTATTATAGTTCACTTTGACGAACAATTCTTTAATTTATGTTAAATTAGTGATATGTTGCAGCTCAATTTGCGATTGATTATACAGTCCACGTTAGTTTAAAATTATTCAAACAATAATTCGTTTCACTACAATAATAACTAAAAATTAAATGATTTACAAAAATTTCCATTGAAAATGTGAGGTAAATATATGTAGGGACAACAGACGTAAATGCGTGAAAACGTGAGAAAACGTCAAAAAAACCAACGAATAACTCGCGAGCGAACTTAAATATAGCTGAATAAATAAATAAATAAAAACAAAAGTGCGGTAAATTTTTCTGAATTAGAGTTCGATTTCCAAAAAGAAATTTCGAAGGGGTCAAAAGGTCGGAGCCTGCGAAAACAGATTTGGAAAATAGGAGCCAAGCGAATATGAAATCAAACAAATATTAATCGAGCTTCGACCACTTTCGCTTCAGTTTTTTTCGAATAATCTGCGCGGTAATGGTGCGCGCGCACGCGTTGCACACGCGTCGCGGGCGGCGTTGCGTATATTGCGAGAGAGAGACAAAAATTCTACATTTTTTGTGAATTTCAGGGTGTGGAGAGAAAAAAGAGCATGAAGGATTACTGAAAATAAAGTAAAAAGGGAGAGGGAATAAAACAAAGTCGAGTCGGACAGGGTTTACGCGGTGCAAAACGGAAATTTCCTTTTTTCCTGTTTGTGGAAAAAATGCTAATTTTATCGATTATTTTTAATGTGGGAAAATTATTAGTTAGCGAATTGAGGAAAAAGAGTGGTTTTTTTCGTGGAAATTAATCGATAAACTTTTTCTTATTTTTATTCCTCGCCAGTTTAATAAGTTTGATAAAACTTTTAAAAAAATAAAATAAACTTCTAAAAAAGATTAAGAAAATAAAAGTGAAACTTTTTTTGCTTTTTATTTTTCAATTTTTTATTGCAAACTGCAAAATAACAATTTCCGCTGATTAGTCATTTTGATAATTTCGGCAAAGAATCACTTGCGAATAGAATTGGATCCTTGGAGCGACCCGAATTTATAAGGGGTTTGGTACCATCAAAAGACAGGAATCGAATCTATGATCTTTGAATGCACTCAATCAAAGTAATATATTCACGTGGTAACCTAACCCTCCTTGATAGTAATACAATTATCTATTGAAACTCACTGACACCATACAATAGATTCGTTAATTCATCCTTTTCCTCTCACGCATGAAAAATACTATTAATGAATGAGAGGGGAAGAGAAAGAAGGAAATGGAAAGAGGAAAATGATGTACGTTGCTAGCGGAGGCTGATGATGCATGCTACCGGATAGTCACGATTACTTTTAGTAGCTAATTTCGAAAATGGTGCAAAATGGCAAACAGCATTCATCAGTTCCACTTTGGCTATCTTCGCTGACTACTGGCGACGAGATATTTAGATGACGACTTTTCACCAGAGAAGCACTTCACGAGC